GGGGTGGTCCCTTCCAAAAGTGAGGAATCCCCACTAAAACCAGGGTCAACATTGTGGTCCTGCCACCTTGGGCACCGTGGTTGGATGGTTGTTTTCCGGGATACCAAAAGGAATTTGTTCATGATGTTGAGACCAGATCGACATTAAAAATTGACCAGATCTGGAGGATCCGAATCCTTGTGAATCAGATGAATGATTTTTGGACCCACCGGAAGGTACCGGTTTATTGGGGGTTCGGTCCCTCTGATCGATAAATGCATAGTTTAGGGTATCTTCCTTGTTGGGTGCTTTTAACCGGCAGTTCTTCTGACTCAACCAAACACCGTATTCCAACACCATGGTGGTGGTTTCTCCAAAGAAGGACGGGTTTCGAAATGCGAATCAAGCCAAACGGCTCGGATTCCGGACCTGGTCGCAAGTTGAGCCCTGACTTCAAGGGAAACCACCTTGTGCACCTGCTATTGGGTGGACCAAATCTGTTCGCACTGCTTTGAAACTGGGTGGGAGGTGCATGGTTGAATTGGAGTGAAATTGGGGGTTGGGGGGTTTGTGGGGATGGAACTGGACTAGATGGTTGAAACCATTGTTAGTTGGAATGTACAGGAGAATCGTCAGAATCCAGGGTTTCTTGCATGTTGCGAGATGGATTTGTCCCATCCACAGTAGGGATCCAAGTGGTTTGGGAATATGAAACGCGGATTGCCGTAGCTGGCCCAGCGAGCAAAACATCATTTCCTTTCTGCAGCTCTGTCGAGTCTCCTTGTCCCAGCTCTTGCATTCCGGATTTGTTGGGAGTCTATTTATCCCACGCCATTATTTTTCCCCGTGAAAGATTTGGAACAGGAAGAGTCGGCAAGATACAGACACCCGGTCTGACCGACCGACTGACTGATTCCAACCCGTCACCCTCCGTTAACCCTACCACGAATTTCCGACCAAGAAGAACTAGCGAGCGAACGGAGCCGAATGATCCGTTCCGCGCTTCCTTCCTTGGGCGGTTTTCCAGGGCTCCTTAAAAGATCTCCATTTTGCAACCAGTTGAAACATGGCTTTTTCCACCAAAATACAGGGAAACCACCATTGACAAGGCAATGTTTAGGTGGATAATGTAAGGATCCCTGTTTTCCAGTACATGTAACCAAGCCTGCCAAAGAGGTCCTGGGAGCGCGGAGTTCCCGCCGAAAACCGGTGTGGTAGGTCAAAAATAGTTACCCAACATGGAGCCCTGGAAAATGGAGCCAAACAAACTGGACCAAAAGTTTCCAGGTCACATTTTTAGCCGTGGTAAACCACTAACCCACAAAACCCATGAAAAAGTCTGGCCCAAAGCCTGACATCGACCCCCGAGTCGCCGAGGCCGGAGACGTCTTCCACGCCGCCGAGGTGAATTTGGTGGCGGAGACCTTGTGGCAGGGCCTGCCCAACGCTCGGAGCCCCGGCTTCCAGGGCTTGGCCGGCGGTTTGGGGGGGGGGGGTTGGGGGGGGAGGTGTGGCTACCGAGTTGGCGGTTGGCGAGGTGTTTGAACTGTTTGTTAAAACGGTGTCTCTGTGTGTGTGACTTCTCTCTCTCTGTCTCTCTATGTGGGCGTCGTGCTAAAACCCAAATGTGTTCGGGTTAGTCTTCCGAATTTCCAGGCTTATGTGGCATGAGCTTCCCACTGTGTGAGCAGAAGAGACGCGGAAGGGCGGCGGAAGAGATGCTGAAGGGCCAGGGCTAGTGACATGTGTGTATGTATTGAAAGGACCTGTTTTCAAAGGCAAAGCAGCGGGAGACACAGCGGCAAGCGCTGTTCCCTTTGTTTGCCTAGAAAGCAACAACAGACGCGGCATTTCGCGGAAGTCGCGCGGAAGTTTCGCGGAAGAGTCGCGGATGACGAGTTCAGCAGCCCGTGCCCCCCTTCACGCTCACAGTGGTCTTCCCCCTTCTGCGGCTGCGTCCACTTGGCTGTGGCAACCGAAAAACCGGAATTCCAGCATGGCTTGCCCGATCGGTAAGTGGAAACAAAGGCCAAGACCCTTATAACCTCTCCTGTTTTTGTTTTTTTTGAGCCCCCTGCCAACACCCTGGGCCAAGACCTGCGGTTTGCCATCCGATCGTTCCATTTTGAGCCACCACACCCACTGGTCCGATGTATCTGTCAGCTCCAGCTCCAGCGCGTTCTGCGCCTTCCGCCGGGGTTCGGCGGCCATTGTTTTTTGGAGGGACCAGTGATGGCTGGCGTGTAGATTTGCGGAAGGTGTGCGGAAGGTGTGCGGAAGGTGTGCGGAAGGGTGGCGGAAGGGCAGGTTTCAGGAGAAGTATTTTTTTGCACAACCCGCATGTGTCTGTGCGGGTGTGTTGTTTTTGTGGCAAAAAGAGAGAGGCGTTTAGAGGACGTCTCTTTAAAGAGAGCATTGCTTTTGGCCGAGATGAGTCTTAGCTTGGGGCAATGAGGATCCCTGGTCTCTTGTCTTCTGAACTTCCGCACCCTGTGTCAGAGACAAGATCGGACCCCCCGAGAGCCAGAAAGGTTGGTTTGTGACAACTCCTGCGAAAACCCCGTTTGGTGATGCTTGTTGAAAGGAGACCTGGAAGCAAACCTCCCATTTCGGAGTAATTCGCCCCGTTTGAGGCCTGCGTGCTACATAGCGCATCATGTTTGGTTTCCCTGCAGGAAACCAAGAAGGGTATGGACATGCTTTGATCTTTTTCAGGCCTTCGGAATCTCTAAGAAGGTTGCTTGCCGTTTGGTTCGTTTTGGGAGCACCTTACGGGTGTGGCTCACAAAATAGAATCCCCAAAATGGCACCTTGCCAAATGGAACCAAAGACTAGAACCCTAGCTCTTTTATTTTGAGCCACATCCTTATACATCTTTATTGACTAACATGATGTTTAAGTTTAAATCCTAGGTTTCGGGTTAAACGTCGACCTGCAAGGGGATTCCCCTGATGTGCGAATCGGCCGCAAGGTGGTGGATCAAGTCTTGCCCCTCGTGCCGGGGGCTGAGTTTGGCAATACGGGTGCGTCTTTTGAGGGTACCCCAAACCACCATTTTGGGGGTTCCCTCAAAACGACACACACATATCTCTAACTGGCATCTTCTCACTTTGTCAATATCTGCCAGATGGCTCTTGCTGCCAAGCATCGATGTCAAGAGGAGCATTCTCTTCCGGAGACCTCCGTTCAACCGTTCAGCCAGGTTGCGTTCTGATTGGATGGGGTGGGGCTACTGAACAAGCCGAGAATCCTGACACCGGATTGAAGCAGAACCTGCTGGATGAATTGAAAGCGTTACGTACCAGTTAACATGGGACATTTGAACCGCGACGCATATTTAGAGAACGGCTTAGCTTAGAGAATCCCAAAGCGGACGTCACCCCTGTGGTTGGTGCCTAATTTTGGGGCATATCCATGTTGATTCAGCCATGACAAACAGCGCGCATTAACATGGGACCCGCCTTTACGCCTTAAAGAGGTTCCAACCTATGTGGGTCCCATGTGGGTTTGATTTTGATTTTGACTTTACGCCGGAACCCCACATGTTCCTTTACGCCTTTACGCCTTTAGTTTTTGATTTTGACCAACCCCATGTGGGTTTGTCTCAAGCTAGGGGAACAACCCCCCGGCTTCCTAACATGGGACCAAGACCCCCAAACAGCCCTCACGTGGGCATCCCCAACACTTGTGTGGAAGGTTTCTCTGTGTTTTTTCTTTCCATGGAATACAACGTCCCAACATGGGTTTCCGAGCCCGCCAAATAGGCATGCCCAAGATGTCGCTGAGGTCTTTGGATATGGTCTCCTACAGCTGCTTGGCGCTGTTGGGCTGCTTTGGTCGGTGTCAACAAACCGCAGCTTTGGGGTCACCAAAATGATGGGATGTCCCTTTAAACCAACCTCAGAACGGGTTTCCTCCAAATCAAACAGACCCACATTGAATCAGCCAAGTTGACATTTTGGGAGTTCTCAAAATGAATGGAGACATCATGTATGCCGACGTTCATTTTGTTGTAACACCACGGGTGTCTTGTTTAGGTTTGCTTGAAGGGGTCCATTTTGGTGGAGGCGCATCTTGCATCTTGCCCGGCATGTCTTGACCCACCGGTGTCATTGTGTTCTTCTCTTTGGAGGGGGTTCCCTTGCAACACAGAACCGGGGTCATTTTGTTTGAAGGGAAACAACCCCACCACTTGAAAGGTGAGAGGCCAGCAAAAAGGATGCCCTTTGTTCTCATGGATTTCGACTGGTTCGGGAGGGCAGAAGTCTGAAAGATTTTGTGATACCAGACTTAGTCATTTTGCGCAGGTTTTCCAGTAGCATCACAGGGGCAACAACTCTTCAGGCAATGAACCCCTAGTTGTAGGGGGTAAATGGGAAGCCACCCCCCACCCAAACCACCAATCCAAACCAACCAATTCGGGGGAAGCTGAACTCTGAATGATTCTTCCATTTCCTTAGGAATATTTATATTTCTTCCCCATGTTTCCCAGTTGCCCAGTGGTGCCCCTGTTTTCCTTTTTTTGGGAAGGCTTCCCCTGAACGCCTCAACCAACCAGAAAAAGGATGCCCCGTTCTTTTTCTCTTCCCCCAAATGCCACTGGGCATCTGAGGTTTGGTTCTGCCTGTCCGCAGCACAGAAAGTTTCATGAATCTTGCAATCCTCTCGAATCTTTGAGCGCAGTTTGGAACCAGAGACCCAGCCCGAAGCATCAAGACTGATTTTTTTCAAGTTAGGCACCAGCATGTCCACCACTTCAAGATTAGGGGAATGGGAGAAAACCACCTTGATACTTTCCCAGACCTTGATATTTTGTCTTAGGGCCCATTCGGTTTGCCGAGTTTTCCCTGTCAACCAAGAAGTTGAAAAACACCTTGACCACCTTGATATGTTGTCTTAGGGCCCATTCGGTTTGCCGAGTTTTCCCTGTCAACCAAGAAGTTGAACAACACCTTGACCACCTTGATGTTTTGTCTTAGGGCCCATTCGGTTTGCCGAGTTTTCCCTAACCAAGAAGTTGCAGCACCGCATGCAAAGTTCGCGCAAGCTCCGGATGAAGCCACGGGATGGCGGATGACTGGGAGTTCCCGGCGGAGCTGGATGAGTTCCTGGAGTTTTGTGTGGAGGAGAAGCGCCTGTGGGCTAGGTCCCCCAGTGCCAACTTTTACCGTTTCTTTTTTGGGGGAGGGTTCCCCCACTAAAATAGACGACAGAAAAAAGGGTACCCTCATTCTAACCTCTCTACTGGAGGACCTAGGTGGGATGTGTGTTTGTTTTTTCCTTCTTCTTCTTCTTTTTTTCTGGAGGAACTGGTTGTATTGTTTCTTTTGAGATCTTTTAGATATTTCTAGGGGCCAGGGATTGTTTCTCCAGAAACTCTCAATATAGAACAGTAGCTGTTTTGATGTTTGATTTACGGTTCAGCCGGTTTGCAGCTTGCTTGTTCATTTGACGTCACTTAATATGGAACCCAATCAAACATATTATTTTTGGTTTGAGGGCAACAGCTGAGCAGATTGAATGGCAGGTTGGTTCCCTTTACGCAACCACTTACGAGGTGTCTTTGAGAATGCTGAGTTGTGATTCATCCTGTAGTACTCACAGGAATCCCCCGAAATGAATCAATTCTCACTCAATGGGGTTTTGCCGCTGCTGATCAGCTCGTGCCCCTCCTGTTTGTTTGAGTAGTCCGAAGTTGACATGAATGGTGAATCATGTGGATGGGGGGTTGGCTAAATGCTCAACGATGGTTGTCAGGGTTAGGGGATTCATCCCTTTGTTGGGCATCCATGTAAAGAACGACCAGCCCAATGTTGTTAGCATGTTTTTGGGTTGTTAGTTTTTTTTGGGTCTGTTCATCATGTGTAAGGGGCTGCAAAAAAAAGAAGAGGTTTTGTTACCATACCATCACCAAGGGTTGGAAAGTTAAGCGATAGCGGTTTAAATGATAGCCGAACCCTGGGTTCAACTGGAGCCACCTAGCTAACTAGTCGGACTCACCCACCTGCCCACCTATCACCCTACAAATCGTAGTGGTTTCTCTTGGTTTCTCTTCAAACCAACCCTAAACACCCTCAAAACACACTCGTTTCATGGTTATGGACATCTGACTTTTGGACCAACTTGTGTGATACCAGGGGAACCTTCAACTTATTTCGGCCCTTATAGGGTCCCTCAAAGGATGCACCTAGAAATCACCTGGCACATGTAGGAACCATTTGAAACAGCTGGTAAAGCTAGTCCTTAAATTGCCAACATGGGGCCTCGAAATAGGGTTCGCACCCTCAGAACTTCAATTTTGTTCCTGTGTCCTTTAAGACCACCCAAAAGGGTACCTTCACAAAAAGGACACACCCAAACATATGGCTGTGGGTCAAAACCAATGGGATCCCATTTTGGGGTAGGTGAATTCACCACCCATTTTAGTCTACTTCAAATAGAATCGGATCTTCACCGGGGGCTAACCGATTTGGAGTTTGACCCATGCATGGCCATATCCTCCCGGGTCCAACTTCACACTTTTCGACTTCTTTGGACCTTAAAGAGCCTGACGGGAACTTCTTTCGACTCCAAAAAGCCATAGGGTACCAAGGGAGACCTGGCATGACCCCTTTGCGTCAAACTCTTTGTTTGCCGCCAAACTGGTCCAAACCGAAAAAACATTAAAAAAAAGAGGTACCCAGTGGGTCCAATTTCCAGGTTTTGCAGGAAATGAAGCGAACCACACAGGAAAATCACTGGTTACCTACTGCCGGGGGGCGCGCAGGAGCACGCTGGAGACTTTGAGGTCATCTCCCGAGAGACGCTCGGCTTCAGTCAGCATGGCTTCGGGGCTTCCGTGGGCTGCGTCGTTTTCTTTTTTTCTTCTTCTTTTTGTGTTTCCGTTTACCCATCGAATGTTTTTGGTGTTTTTTTTTGCCTGGACCTATTCTTGCCTGGACCTTAAATTGCAAATTTGCAAAAACGCGATTGCCCCCAAAATTATGTGTGATTTCTCTTTTTTGTGGCAGTGCGTCGGGTTTCCTTTCCCGTCAAGTCCAAGGGTGCCCTCAGAAGAAATACACACGTTTGTTTGTTTAAGGGAACCCCGTTAGATGCGCATTTGTTGTTCAACAGGGATACCAAACCGAACACACCAGTTTTAGGGGCGCCCTGATTATGAGACGCCCAGGTATTCTGCTGACATTTCACCCACGGGCTGGTTTTTGGCAGATACAGGGTTGGCGTTGTGGGCTGTTCTTGAGAATGATCAAAACATGCTCGGCTGGAGCCACTGATTGACCCTCAGCACAAAAAAAACAAATGTGCAATGGTCTGAAGCAAGCAACACCCCCACGGGGCGAGAAAAATAGATGCCCCAACCCTATTTTGGCTGCAACTTGGGAGCAGTGCAATTTGGTAGAAACATGGTAAGCTGTTCCCCGCCCTTCTTCGGAGCTGCCCTGGAAAGAAAGTAATTGTGGCAGCAAAGCACACGGTGGAAGCTCTGGAAAGCGGTTCTCTGCAATCCGAGGGACACCTCCTTTTTGATGGGCGAACCACAAGCCTGTTTGTTACACCTCCAATTGTGGATGGGCCCAAACAATGGTAGCAAGTTGTGGTCGCAACAAAAAAATACGGGTCGGGTTTTTCAATGGTTGTCACCCTGCCAGTTGTTTGGTTGCCACAGGCAACCTGATAGTCCGCTGTCCGGTTTGACTTGTTACCTCTCTTTGTCATGGTTTGCTTTTTAGTTTGAGATGAACATGTCTTTTGTTGTTCGTGTTCTTTTTGAGGATACACCCTATTGGACTGTGTTGAAGGGCAGCTAAAAGGAAAGCGAACCTGGAGACAAACCCATAGGGCGCCTCTCTCTGTCTATCTCACTTTCTCTCGCGCTCTCTCTCTCTCTCTCCTTTGCTCTCTCTCTCTCTCTCTCGCGCTCTTTTGATGGGGTTGGTATATGGTTTCATTCGGTGCACTAGAAGGAATCATTTGTAGATTCACTGAGTGGGTGGTTGTTCCCTTTGAACTTGAGTGGAGGTTCCCGTATGGTGGTTCACTTATCCCAGGTTTTAGAGATTCATGGGACATGGATCAAGGCTTTAGTTCCTTATCATTCACCCAGATACTTGGGTGTGCCTTTTTTTGACGGTTCCCTTTCTGGGATGGTTTCAAACTAACCATGTTGGAGGGTTCCCCTATAAGACACACCCAGTTCAGTTCCGGTGCATGTTTATTTTTTAATCCAGTGCTTCCTAGATCTCTGCACCCAAACAAGTGATCAGAACGAGTGAGTGCAAAGAGCTGGAGGAAACTAATGAACCCCCCATAAAATGTCACCAAGATGGATGCCAACAATTTGGGCCGCACTCAAAACCGATTCGGGCAGATGAAGGCTATGGCCCCAACCAGAAAGAGGTGCGGACGTCAAGAAGCGTACGCTGGGTTTTGATCCCTGGGGCATTCAACATCATTTTCAGGCACTTTGGAGGTATGGAGGTTTATATACCACCGATAGGTTGTAAGGCAGTATGCCTTACACCTCTCACCTCCAATTTGTTTTCCAAACTCATCGAAGAAGCCAGCTTGAACCATGGGTTTGATTCTTTTAAGAAATCACCTTATATTGAAAGTTGGTGCGATAGGCAGGGGAATGAGAAATGGAATGACCCCGAGATAAACCAACCCTTTGCGGTTCCCTAGCCAAACCCCAGGTTCACCTCATTTCTCCTTCCCCGCCTCTGGCGCCGATGGCAAGTTTTCCCCTTCCGCTCGCTGAAGCCGCTTCCGCGGCTTCGATGGGTGCGATGGCGCCAGGTTCCTGGAGGTCGCCAGCGGCCTGGACGACCAGCTGGCGGACCGAGCTGAGGAGGCGCGGAAGTTCCCCGAAATTCCGAGTCCGGGGGTCGGGGCCTGGATCCAGATGGAGCCAAGGGGCCGGTGCGTGTGTTGGCGAGTGTCATGTCAAGTTTTGTTTTTTACAACATCATGGAGATACTTGCTGTGAGCAAAAGTGGAGATATGCTCCATATAGCATGTACCAAATGGAAACAATACGACAAAACCGGTCGAATCAGACACCCAGGTGAACACCCTTCCATTGGCACCCCCACTAACATGGCAGGGGTGGCTTTAAGAGGCAAGTAGGTTGTAGCCATGGTTGTCACTGGTGCATGTAACTGGGGTGATCGTCCCCAAATAAAACCATGGTAAAACCTTCTAAGTTGGTTGAAGATCCAAGAAGTGTATCATAGACGTGGAGATGCAATTCCCCTGAGCATTCGTGCAGGCCTTCTCCGCAGAGTGCTTGCGGCGGAGGTATATTCAGCTGCACGAGGCCGGGTCCGAAGCGAAAAACATGGGGAGGTCAGATGCGTCGAGTTGCAGTCTGCAAGCAAAAACGGGTTGCACAGCGCCCTCTAGAAGATGAAACCTGTCCTTTTGGAGAAAGGTCTTTGCCACTTCCAGGTTTTTTGGGCCTTGGGCGATGATTCCAATTGGGCCAAGTAGCTAGCGACCGCACACAGGTTTTTGGTGTGCGACCTGACCCGCAAAAACGGTTCCTTTTTTGGGGGGGAGGCCTTGTTCAACTTCATTGAACCATTCCCAGGTTTTCTTTTAGAATCGAATCGAGACAGTTCTGCTGGGACTTTCCCCGTTTGGTTCGCCCTTGATATGGCCAGGGCCAGGATCATGATGAATGTGATGGTGATGGCGATGATGAGGAAAATAGGTTTGGAGTAGGATGCGGAGGATGAGGCGACGATGCTGCTGTCGCTGCTGTTGTTGTCTAACGATGATGATGATGATGATGATGATGATGATGATGATGATGATGATGATGATGATGATGATGATGATGATGATGATGATTATGATGGTGCTGCTGTTGTTGTTGATGATGATGAGGTGGAGGAAGAGGAGGAGGATGACTATGGCAATGATGCTGACGATGACGAGAGATGATGATGATGGTGGTGGTGGTGATGATGATGATGATGATGATGATGATGATGATGACGGGAGTGATGGTGATGATGGTGCTGCTGCTGTTGTTGTTGTTGTTGATGATGATGATGAGGAGGAGGAGGAGGAGGAGCACTATGGCAATGATGCTGACGATGACGAGAGATGCGGATGATGATGGTGGTGATGATGATGGTGGTGGTGGTGGTGGTGGTGGTTGGGTTGCTGTTGCTGCGGTTGCTGCTATTGCTGCTATTGCTGCTATTGCTGCTATTGCTGTTGTTGCTGTTGTTGCTGTTGTTGTTGTTGTCCCTGTTGTTGCTGTTCTCGTTGTCGTTGTCGTTGTCGTTGTCGTTGTCATTGTCATTGTCGTTGCCGTTGCCGTTGTCGTTGTCGTTGTCGTTGTCGTTGTTGTTGTTGTGGTGGTGGTGGTGGTGGTCGTCGTCGTCGTGGTGGTGGTGGCGGTGGTTGTTGTTACTGTTGTTGCTGTTGTCGGTGCTGTTGTTGTCGTTGTCGTCGTCGTCGTTGTGGTGGTCGTCGTCGTCGCCGTTGTCGTTGTCGTTGTGGTGGTCGTCGTCGTCGCCGTTGTCGTTGTCGTTGTCGTTGTCGTTGTCGTTGTCGTCGCCGTCGCCGTTGTGGTTGTGGTTGTGGTTGTGGTTGTGGTTGTGGTTGTGGTTGTTGTGGTTGTTGTTGTTGTGGTTGTGGTTGTGGTTGTTGTTGTGGTTGTTGTTGTTGTTGTTGGTGGTGGTGGTGGTCGTCGTCGTCGTCGTGGTGGTGGTGGCGGTGGTTGTTGTTGCTGTTGTTGCTGTTGTCGGTGCTGTTGTTGTCGTTGGCGTTAGCGTTGTCGTTGTCGTTGTTGTCGTCGTCGTCGTCGTTGTCATCGTCGTCGTTGTCGTTGTCGTTGTCGTTGTCGTCGTCGTCGTCGTCGTCGTCGTCGTCGCCGTTGTCGTTGCCGTTGCCGTTGTGGTTGTGGTTGCGGTTGCGGTTGTGGTTGTGGTTGTGGTTGTGGTTGTGGTTGTTGTTGTTGGTGGGTGGGTGGGTGGGTGGGTGGGTGGGTGGGTGGGTGGGTGGGTGGGTGGGTGGGTGGGTGGGTGGGTGGGTGGGTGGGTGGGTGGGTGGGTGGGTGGTGTGGGTGGGCGTGGGTGGGTGGGTGGGTGGGTGGGAGGGCGTGGGTGGGTGGGCGTGGGTGGGTGGCGTGGGTGGGTGGGCGTGGGCGTGGGTGGGTGGGCGTGGGCGTGGGTGGGTGGGCGTGGGCGTGGGCGTGGGTGGGTGCGTGGGCGTGGGCGTGGGTGGGTGGGCGTGGGCGTGGGTGGGTGGGTGGGCGGGGGTGGGGGTGGGTGGGTGGGCGGGTGGGTGGGTGGGTGGGTGGGGTGGGGTGGGGTGGGGTGGGGTGGGGTGGGGTGGGGTGGGGTGGGGTGGGGTGGGGTGGGGTGGGGTGGGGTGGGGTGGGGTGGGGTGGGGTGGGGTGGGGTGGGGTGGGGTGGGGTGGGGTGGGGTGGGGTGGGGTGGGGTGGGGTGGGGTGGGGTGGGGGGGGGGTGGGGTGGGGTGGGGTGGGGTGGGGTGGGGTGGGGTGGGGTGGGGTGGGGTGGGGTGGGGTGGGGTGGGGTGGGGTGGGTGGGGTGGGTGGGTGGGTGGTTGGGTGGGTGGTTGGGTGGTTGGGTGGTTGGTTGTGGCTGTGGCTGTGGCTGTGGCTGTGGCTGTTGCTGTCGCTGTCGCTGTTGCTGTTGCTGTTGCTGTTGCTGATTTTGCTGCTGCTGTTGTTGCTGCTGTTGCTGTTGCTGTTGCTGTTGCTGTTGCTGTTGCTGATTTTGCTGCTGCTGTTGTTGTTGCTGTTACTGGTGCTGGTACTGAGGAGGAGGAGGAGGAGGAGAAGGAGGAGGAGGAGGGCGAGGACAATGATGGTGTGGAGGATTGATGATGATGGTGGTGATGATGATGATGGTGGTGACGACGACGAGGATGACGATGACGATGATGATGACGATGATGAAGATACTTCTGATGATGATGATGATGATGATGATGATGATGATGATGATGATGATGATGATGATGATGATGATGATGATGATGATGATGATGATGATGATGATGATGATGATGATGATTATGATTATGATTATGATTATGATTATGATTATGATGATGAGGAGCAGGAGGAAGAGGAGGATCAGGAGCAGGAGCAGGAGCAGGAGGAGGAGATGACGTTGATGGTGGTGGTGATGGTTATGCCAAACCAACGCACATTTATCCTGCACAATTGTTCACACCATGTGCCAGCAGGCTTCAGGAAGGTTAAAATCCCACTGTTTCGCCACCAAGGCATAGACAGGTACATGTGACGTGCATGAGAGGATACAGGTAGAATGATTTGGCTGTGGGTCACCACCACTGGTACCATTTCGGGCTAGGTGAATTCACCCCCCATTTTCGTCGACATTTTCGTTGGATTGAGTCGGATGTGAAAACTGGGGGCGAACCGATTTGGATGACCCATGCGCCCGGCAGAGATCCGAGCCAGGCAGACCAGCCAAAGCAGCTGGAGCCAGAGCCAGCGGCCCCGGAGGTCTCGGCGCCGGCGCAGGCGGATCCGCGGGAGGGTGGGTTTTTTTGCGGTCCTATGGGCCGTGTCTGGTGGCATTTGTTCTTGTTTTTTTCTCAAGTTTTTTTTAACGCTTTTTCAAAGAGATGCTATATTCGTTTCCTCGTGTCTGGGCATTTTCTTGGTTATATCTTTCTTTTTCACACTTTTTCAAAGAAAAAAAAACACACTATACTAGTTTCCTGAAAGAATCAACACAAATCACAGAAAAGCGCACGCCCAGGGTGACCTGTTCTGCTTTTTTGGGGGTTGTCTTGAGGGGTTGTACAGGCAATGTTGAACACGGGACACCTGAGCCATCACGCGCCCAAGCAATGCGACGTTGGATCAGATTCACAAGCAAGGCCGTGGGTCAAGAATAGGTACCCAAAATGAAACGCTGATAAATGGACAATGGGCTAGAACCTGCGGTCCCCTGGTTTAATTTTGACCCATACCCATTTGAAGTTCAAGGGCATTGTTTCCCTCCCGTGTTCAGCCGAGCAACCCTGGTCCTTCAGTGTTTCACTTAAAAGTCAATTAATTTTGGTATCACAGTTATTACCCAGAGGGTTGGAATCCCGACAGCTTCTGACTTTAACCCTCGGGGAAAAAATGGGTGAAACCAAAAAACAATGGCCCCAGTGGCAACCTGAGGCTTGAAATAAATAAATTTGCCAATGCCTAAACATGAGCATGTGTCAACATCGGCGACCCTTGGGGAGTTTAAACCCATCTACCACCCCCCGACTTTCTCACTTTGATAACCCTCCGAAACGGTCAACACATCATGACCCCGTTGATATGTTTAAACGGCGCATCTCAGGTTCCGCTGTCGAAATAAACGGATTTGTCGACAATGCTTTGTTGACAATGTTTTGTTGACAATGGTTCATTGCCGCTGAACATCACGACGACAAATCGGCCGAACAAAATGAACAAACACATCGGCCGCCAAAAAACCGTCGTCGGCCGAGCCACGGCGTAGGCGGACTGGCGTCAGCTGGCCGAGTCGGAGGCGCCGCCGTCGCAGTTCTCGGTGCTCACCGACAGCCTCCAGGCGAGGAGAGCAACTAGTTGGCCTCCCAACTCCCAGCGGGATTTTTTACAGGGAACCGAACCGAACCGTTCGACGTTCGGGGGGCTCCTGGAAGAGCATCTTCCTTTTAAAGGGACCCACCAACAAATGTGGACCGCAGATGAATTAGGGGTGTCAACCTGGTTGTAGCGGTTGGACCGGTTGGATTGATTCAGACCACTTTTGGAGGGGAACACCCCCAATTAATAGGCTGGGGTTTATTAATATGTGGTCAACATTACCCTCCCACCAATTAGCATGGAACCCGACGTTCGGGGGTCCCTTTGAAAGGAAAATAGTCTTCCAGGACCCCCCCTGTCAGGTTCCATGTTATTAGGTCCTTTTTGTTTATGGCCCATGAAAGGTGAGTGTCCCCGGGGGGTGATGTTTTGAGGGAAATATATAGGGAGCCCCGTCACCAACTAGCATGGAAGTGCACAAAGCAGCTTTCCAAGAGGTTAGCCTTTCTACGGGGATCATGTTAGTAGGGTAGATGGGTGTGTCTTTTTCTTTAAAAGGGATCTTTCTACATGGGGGTCTATGCACTTCCATGTTAGTTGGCGGTAGGGTAGATGGGTGTGTCCTTTTGTTTAAAAGGGATCTCCAGAATTGATGTGGGTTCTCCCTTTGGTTGCGCCTTGGAAGAACCAAAAGGGTACCACCCAAAAAAAAGACACCCAGATGGTGTCTTCCAGTTGCTTCATGTTTTACAAGTTTTCCGCTGAAGTTAAAGGGAATCGATTTCACCGGGCACATGTTCTCTCTTTTTTGGTCCCTGAAAAGCCAATGGTGTGGTTTCCCTTTGGTTTCCCTTGCAAACAACCCAAAAAGGGGGTTGCCAGGGTCGCCTCAGAACATACGGTATGTTGTGAGCTTGACCAAACATCTAGAGGTGTCCTTCCTCGGTCGTTCCCAGCAAATCGTCCGGTTCTTCCGGTTTGAGGTTCTGAGTTGGTTTAGTTGGGTTTCCATGAAACGCTTTAAAAGTTAAGCTGTTAGCACGGGATCTGAGGACAGCCTAGTGAAGAGGTGTCCTTCTTGTTCCCACTCAAGCTTTTTGCAACAGGGCCACGCCACTGGAAGGATGGGCGCCATTTTTTGGGGTCTCCTCCTCAGAACAGTCATATGTCTATATTAGTATACGAGGTTGACTACACGGCATGGGTGTGTCTTTTTTGGAGTTGGTAGCTCTTGTTTGGCGGTTTCAAAGGAGAACCAAAAGGACGACCACGCAGTTTTTGTTTTTTTTTTTGGGGGGGGGGTTGCCCTGAGCGACCCAACTACGACATGGAATTCAGAGCCCGCAGGAGCCATTTCAGCCGAACAACGTGACTATTCGTGACAGTCTCCATGTTTGGAATGCGATATGATGCGATCAACGGCTACATGTTTTCGCTTCCCCTACAGGAAGCCCTCATCAAACGGTTTTGCTTTTGAGGTTACAAGCACCACTGGCGCTGGCTCCTTTTGGGAGTCCAGAGCAAGGGGATCCCTTTAAACGAAGCCAAGGGATGGTTCATTAAACAAAGGCATTTTTTTGGTGGGTGCGACAAAAGGCAACCTGGGGCAAAGATGCTAGATGAAAGGCCAAGAACTGGATCTTGAGAACCACATTTGTAGGGAGAGATGGAAGAGGTTGTCTTTTTTTGGGCACAAAATCACACATTGACATGATTTTCTGTGTACCCCAGATGGCCCAAGCAACATTTCTCCCCCAGACAGCGCCCTTCCACCCCAAATTCCATCCCCCCCCTTGCACCGCCCCAGAATAATGATCCCCTCCCACTGGCAAATCAACTTGGTGTTTTCCTTCAGGTTTCAAAACTGACCCAAAAAGAGTCCCTTCGCCCTGCCAACAAAAGGGATGCACAAGAATCAAATCTGGCTTTCCGTGTAAGAGGGCGAAAAACCCTCAGCTTGACCAAGTTTCTCCCCCAGGCCCCGATGGCAAATCAACTCAACAGGACCAGACTCAACTCTGATTTTCTGTGTACCCCAGCCCAAGAACTCAGCTTGACCAAGTTTCTCCCCCAGCCTCCGATGGCAAATCAACTCAACTCAACTTCAGGACCGGGTGCGGCGCATCTACAACACCGTGCAGCTGCGCCTGCCCTCCGCCTACGCCAAAGACGCCCATTCTGAGGGATCCGAAGGGGATGGCTCCGAAGAAGAGGGCGGCTTTGCGGGGCCCATGGAGCAAACGGAGGAGCTGAAGGAGGCAGGGGATTTCACACTCCGAAGCGGTTTTTGTGAAGGGTTTGGTTGGAAAATCTACAGGGTATGGCCCCTAAAGCTGTACTCCGTACCCTTCAAAGGGGTTGGTTGCAGGAAAATCTACAGGACAACAAGCTGTTTTTCCAGTAGAATTTCCTGTACCCCAACCCGTTGAGCCCCTTTTTTCCTTCCTTCGAGTAATCCTGAGGACCACAACGGGGACCGCCTCTGATTGCTATACGGTCGAAGTCCTCTAGATGAACCCGAAGCTGACCTTTTAGATATTGATAAAGAACAGCTTGAAGAATGCTTGCTGGACATAGATCCGCAATGTGCCCACCAACGAGCCCCCGATTCAGATTCATTCCCTTGTTGCTCTTTTAAGCCAGTTTATGGGAGTTTGTCTTCATTTTATATTGCTTGATTAAATACACATTACGTTTGGGTTGCCAAGTTGAATGCCCATATCCCCAATTGGCTGTGGGTCAAAAATAGGTACCCAAAATGGAACCCTGATAAATAAAAACATGGACTGCAACCTGCGGTCCCCTGGTGGTTTAATTTTGACCCACACACAATTAAGCTTCATATCCCCGTGTTCCCCAACAACTAGCAGCACATCTGCAATCGGACAAGCCAGCTTGGATGACCACCCCCCTTCCATGGGATTTCCTTTACATATAGCCCATATGAATGGGGGGTTTTGACCACTGCTTCCCTGCTTTGCTGGATTCGCAACCTTAGTTTGTTTTTCTCGTTTTTTTTTGGGGGTGGCTTGTCCATACGGTGGATGGACAAAATCCGGCACCACCTGAGAAACCATGGGAAACCATTGTTTGATCATTCCAGGGTTTTCTAGGTGTTGCAAAACGGATTTCGCAACTGTCCACAGTATCATTCTTCAGGTCGTTTGTGGCTTGGATTGGTGGTTTGGGGGTTTGAACCCTTGGTGTACATGGGACACCCCTCCTCAATCCAGAGCCGATCGGAGTCGAAGGAATGCCTCGAAGTAAACCAACAGTTCCAGCTTTGAGCCAGTCAACTCGACGCGGGCCCACTTGACCTCGGACCCCAGTTGCCCAGTGGTGCCCCTCTTTTTTCAACTTTTTTGGGAAGAGTTCCCCTTTAAAGTCAACCAACCAAAAAAGGACGCCCTTTTTTTCCCATAGCCTCTGGGCATCTGAGGGACTCAAGGCCCTGACCTCGGACGCATCCCGAGCTCGGACTCACCGCAGGCCGCGCTGCGTCTGTTTGGCAGCGAGGACTTGGGCCACGTGGTGGACGATTTGGCCACGGAGCCCATGGACAGAGACCCCTCGGGGCTCATTGCGCGGGCGCTGAAGGGCGAGGAGCGACGACGGGGGAAGCCCAGCCTAGGTGCCCCAGCAATTGGCGCCCTGTCTCACCATTTTTTTTGGTTGAAAGGGTTCGGGACCCTACTAAAATAGACTACAGAAAAAAAGGGGTACCCTTATTCGAACCTCTCTACTGGAGGACCTAGCATCTTTGGGGCTTCCCAGCTCCCCTAAACACCTTGTGGCCAAAGGGGTGTGAATTTTGAGGAGACCCCGAATATGGTGGGTTTCCCTTGCTGTTTCCTTGTCAAACCCACGAAAACGGCAAAACCAACTCAAAGAAGAGACGCACCCAAATCGTCTTAGCCAAAACTACTGGATGGGTGTGTTGCTTTTTGAGGATGCCCCTTTGCCGACCTCGCGCCGGGCTTCAAGGGTTGTTGCTTGTTGCGGCTATGCGTCAGGAACAGCTTGTCCATTGGTATGTCTTCAACTTGCTGGTGTACTTTTGAAAACAAATGCCACCTGGGGTGTTTTGAGCGCAGCCTTTTTGGGATTGCTTTAAAGGACATCTAAACAAAAAAATATCTCATTTTGGGGGTCCCCTATTTTAAGACGCACTCGAAGAAAAAGGGAAACAAGAGACACAGGCGCACCAGCTTTGGCTATTTGGTTGGATCTTTAGACTTTAACCAGTTGGTTGAAACAGCTGGGGTTTTCAAAATTGGGACCACAACACCAGAAGAACAACAAGTCTTGCAGAGGGGTCGTTACAGCAACCAAGAATTGGTGGTTTGGCTTTGACATGATTTGAACTTGTCCTTGAGGGTACATCGGGAATCCAACCACCAACCCACCAACCCAGCAACTAAGCCAGAAAGACCTGTCGAAACCCGGAACCAAGAAACGTGGGGGTCCCACACAAGAACCAGCGCTAAGACCTGGCTTGGTATGTCTTAGGAATCCAAGGAAAACATGGATCTCAACTAAACCCCCTCCAATCGGAGGTTTGGATTGAGGAGGGGTTTCCCATTCACTCTCTACAAGCACACCACGGGCTCAAGTCCCTAAACCACTCCAAAAAACCAACTAAGGAAGTGGGAATCCAAGGAAAACATTGACTCAACTGAAACGTCTGGGGGCGGTTGACGTAGGTAATCCTTGGGTTGAAGTCCATTGGAGTAAACAACAATGGAACTCAGAGCTTGGCGTTTCAGACTGCGTGTTTCCTTCCCCCTGTCGGGTTTAAAGGGGTTCGATTTCACTACTCGACAGCGTGTGGTTTTCAGTCCTTGTAACCTCTTTGCGACATTTGGGGTTCACCATGGGACCCCCCAAGAGGGCGTCGGCTTTCCTTGTGGCTCCTTTGAAAAACCAACCAGAAAAGGGTACCCTCAAAAACAAGGCGCACCTGAATCAAACAACCAGATTTGGGGTTGAGAGATGACGAGATGATGGTGACTTTTTGAGGGTGCCTTTGTGGACTTGTCTCAGAGAGCAACCGAAGTGAAACCATCCGTTTTAGCGGCCCCTTCTTTTAAGGCGCACACACACACACAGGAGAGTATAGTTTGATGGAACTTTTTTACAATTCATGGCCAAATGGACTCAAAAGCAGGCAACCCCCCAAAATGAAGGGTGTTCTTTTGGTTCCCCATGCAAAGAACCTGAACAAAGAGTACCCCTCTGGTGGACATCATGGGGATTTGTGTCCAATCGTTTTGAAGTTTAGAAAAAGCTTGTCTCAAAGAGTGCCCGTAAAAAGGGGTACCTTCAAAACGGACAGGCTCAAATGTCGTAACGTTGCTCGCCTAACAGGAGAGCGACAGCGGGGACTCTGCCCTGGAAGAATTCCAGGCGATGCGGCGCGCTGCCAAGGACGACCGGAGTATTTGTTTTTGGGAATTGGTAATGACCCCTTTTCTGGTGGTGTTAAAGGGTAGGCTTCTTTTGAAGCCACACCAAAGGGGAAAGCGCCTTCGTTTTGGAGGGGGGTCGGTTCTCTACTCTATGGGTTACCAAGGACGAGCGGATTCCAGTTCCCGCTGCCAGGTCAAAGCGTCATGTGTTGCACCTCTTGAGGTTAGAAACCCTGGCACCTATAGCGGGAGCGCTGGGCTTGGTTTCCCTAGCCAAGCAAAAGGGAGTTGTCCCAGAAACGACACACCCGAAAATTTTCTATTTACGAACCCTTCCCCGCACGCCTCTTGAGTGTCTCCCTAAGCGCTCCAAGGGTCGCAGAAGACTCGGCTTTCAGGGTCAGGGAGGACGACTATGGTGCCTCGAGGGATTCACCCTTTGTTAGGGTCGCAGTGATGCTACGTGCGTACGGCACCCTGAATTTTGTGTACCGTACACATGAATTGTTGGAAATGGGGTACACTCCCTCAGACTTCCAGCCGGAAGCTCTCAGGCCAATCCTGTAAATGGAACGCAAGTCTTCCAAACAGGTCCTGGGAGTTTCATCTTAGCCTTGTGATTTCTGTTTTTTTTTGCCGGGTCGAAGGGGTGACCCACCGACCGAGCGCCACGAAGCCGCAGCGCTCCGGTTGCAGGAGTCCAGCCAGCCGGACACTTCGGCCCGGAAGCCGGCGCCGACTTCGTCGAAGCCCAAGCCGGCGTTTTCGGCGCCCAAGGCGGTGGTGAAGGCGGGAGAGGGGCGCGGGGTTGTCGGATCAACGTGAAAGACGCGGGGGCGAAGCTTGAAATGGCTTAGGGCTCCAAAAACTGGCACCAAAATCAACCCTGGTAAGTGGAATCGGAAACATGGACAACCTGCGTTACCCCTCCTGTTTAATTTTGAGCCACACCCAAATGATGTTAAAGAAAGATGTAAGTCCTAGGGTTGACTAGGTCCCCCAGCTTTGCGCTTTTTTTGGGGAGGGCTCCCTAAAATAGACTACAGAAAAAGGATACCCTTATTCTACCTCTCTACTGGAGGACCTAGTTGAACTGATGTTGAAGAAAGATGTAAGTCCTAGGGGTGAAGCTTGAACTTGAGACACCATGCAACAGAAAATCCCCCTATTTGGGAGAAGTTTGAAATCTCTCTGAGCATCCTTGCCCACGAAAATCATGAAAAAGGAAAGATTACCCCTGTCCACGAACCTGGAGCCTAGGGGGCCCCTTTTCAAGGGTAAACCTGGGCCCCACTGGGTTAACACATGCGAAATCTGACTCTTTCACAATGCCAATTCGATTGCATACGACGCTTCCCACCTGTTTGTTTAGATATGGCTATAAGACTTACTGGGGAAGGCCCTCAAACATGCTTGGTAGAAATCGGTCACGTTGGGCGTTGCTCAGACCCAGGTCCCCTCAAACCATCACACCCCAAAATGGTCAACCCGTAGCAACGAACCGCTTGAGGATCGACTCCCGACTCCGCGACTCCGCGACTCGACTCGACGGCTCGACTCCGCGCCGCGCCTCGCCGGTCGCAGGCGAAGGCGGCGGTTCCGCGCGCGCCGCAGCCGGGCTTCGTGCGCCTGGAGTTGGTGGAGAGCAGCAGCGAGGAGGCGGAGGTGCGGATCGGATCAGATCGACCCAGAGAAAATGAGCCACGTGCTCAAAACCCGGGTAGATGGTTCGGTTAGGGGCCAGCCACAAATGGTTGCGGGTACCCGCCTTTCTAATTCTTTACATGGTTCTGGGTTCACTATTTTTGTACCAGGTTTTGATTGTGACTCAAATGGCGTTGGAAGTTTGGGGATTGGTCCAGCAATTGGCGCCCTTTCTCGTCCACTTTTTTGGTTGGGAGGGTTTTTTGCTAGTCAAAATAGACTACAGAAAAAAAGGGTACCCTTGTTCTAACCTCTCAACTGGAAAACCTAGTTGGGGATTTTGTGTCGCGGGTCGCGGGGGAGTTGGGCGGTTGGCTTTGGCTTGGGCATTAGGGGTGTCCCTTTTTGCATGGATTCGGGCGGGCAGGTTGCATTGCCTCATGGGGGGTCTTTCTTTAGCTTTCCCCTTCCCTTCCTGTTGCCGAGTGGTTAAGATATCCCTCAGGGGATTGAATCGTTGTTCGGTGTTCAGTGGAATTTTGGCGGCATGCTGTTCTGCTATGTCGAGCCTCTCAACACAGTATTCCGAGTCCTTCTGGCGCAGAAAGGTCCGAACGGAGACACCAAGGAATCAGATCAGCTTCAAACAGCTGGAAGCTGTACACTTCCATTGTTTGAAATGGGGTAACCAAGTTTTCACCAACTTGCAGTTTGGTCGTTGTGTGTGTGTGTGTTTGTGTTTTCCCCATAGGGGTCTGATATTTGGGAGCCGGTGATTGGTAAGACACTCGAACCGGGGGATCGGAATGCCCCCCCCTTGCCAGCCCAACCGGATCTCATTGGGCAAACGACCAGGCCAAGAATGTGCAATGTGATGCGTAGATTCTGGTCCAAAGTGAACCTCAAAATGCGAAACTATGTTTGAGAGGTCCCTATGATGAAAGCAAAGCCGCGGCAGAGGAACGAATGACAGCTAGTGTCCAACTGGTGATATGTAAAGCCGTTGTGGTTGCTGAAGGCTCGTGATCTACTCTCAATATTTTGCTTGCCGTGGTTTCTGTGATGAATCAAGTGTTTCGGGCAATAGCCAGAAGTCATGTAGCGTCATGGAATCCAGTGGCTGATGCGAGTTTCATGTCGGACATCAAAGAGGGCTGACCACCAAAACGTGGAATTCATCAATTCAGCTGCTTGACCACATTTGGGTCCCTCTCAAACCACCGCAGTCCTTCCTGAGCTGCACAACGAGGGAGTAATGAGAAGGGCAGTAAACCGAGCATGATACAAGGTGACAAGGAATTATACACATTGTTCTCCCATGGTCTTTACTTAATTTCGCTCCATCCTGAATATATAAATTAATAGCACATGGAATCTGAATAGAATATCACAGCCCGCCTTTCCCGTTCCATTTCGTTTTGTTTGGTAGCGTCTCTTGCCCTCCAACAACCACTTCATACCCGGTGACTCTTCATCCCCTTCGCCTTGGTTTCGTCTCATGTCAGGATCCAGAGCCTAGCTCGGAGGAGGAGGAAGAGGATGCCTGATGGGATGTTCGGAGTTAAGTGTTTCGCTGCTTGGGTCACCAATTTATGACAGAGTTGACTCCACCCACTCAAGACTTGGGACTACAAGTGGGTCTGTCGTTTTTGGGAACCCCCTTTTTTGGTGCCATTTTTGGGTTTCCTAAAAAGAAGACACACCCGAGTGCGTTTTAACCCAGCTTACTACCCACTTATGTTGGCCGACCCCAGTATGGATGCGCTTGCAATTTCTGCACGACTGGTCAAAGGAGCATTTCCAGCCAAGTTTCATTTGGTGAGTGATCACTGACTTTCCGGTTTGGAAATTCTGGAAATTCACGCAGATTAACGCAGGCTTCCTCTTGCTTCCAAAAACGTAGTTTCACTGGACACCGCCAGTCAATTGATCAACTGTTGACTTGGGAAACTGAAATCCAGTGACCCCTGTAACTGTTATCTTGGACTGGATTTTTTGCATTTCTGGTAAAAACAAATGGTGTACTTGGGGGAGAAAACAAAAAGCAGATTGGAGGTCTTGGAGGTCAAACCTCGCCGTCTGGGGTGGGAACTTTGGGCCGCGAGGACACGGCTCATCTCCGGGTGCTGTCCCGGCTGCTGGCGAAGGTGCGGGAGTGTGTACCACCCGTTTTAAGCGTTTGGTTCCTTAAAAAGGTGTCCATGGTGTCCTTTAAAATCAACCAACTGGAAAAGGGGTGCTCGGTTTTTGTCCCTGGGATGTTCCGCTGGGCTTGTGAGTGGGCCTTTGGAAGTTTGGGGAAGACGATTTGGGGGGTTCTCAACATTGGGGACGAATTCGTGGTTTCCCTCGAAAGCTATCCAAGAAGGGGCTCCCATATTTTGAGAACCCCCCCCCCCTCCATCATTTCAGTGGCAAGCCCTCAACAGATCCTTTGGACTTGGGCAAACCGCTTCCGTTTTTCTTTTCTGAGGTGCCTGCCCCCCCACGCCCCCGCCCCCCCCCCTCCTGGCTTGACACCGCTTTCGAGCACCGGGTCTCGCCCCAAGCGGCCAAGCCGCGCGCGCCAGGTGTCGCCTTCCTCCGACTGCCCCTGGGATGCGTGGCTGGAGGCGACCCACGCCTGGCCCCACCTCAAGCTGAAGCTCCCCGGCGACTTCTGCCGCAAAGGCGCGGCCTCGGTTTTTAGCGAAGGAGAGCGGACGGAGAGCGGGAAAGAAGCGGATGCCGAAAGGGTTTCGAAGCAAGACTTAGGTAGATGTTTGTTGGATCGCCCTGCGATCTATCGTTCTTAGCTTGAAACTCATCTTATTTGGCTGCTGCTGCTGCTGCTGCTGCTGCTGCTGCTGCTGCTGCTGCTGCTGCTGCTGCTGCTGCTGCTGCTGTTTTGTTTGGATGGATTCCAGTGGCAGATCGGTTTCGTGAAACCTTTTGCCAGTGAGTCCAACCATTTGTTCGAAGCTCACCTGAAGGTTAGCTTAAGCCCATTTTGCCCAACTCAGATTTCCTCCCCAACCCCCCAGCCCCTCTAAAGCGTGCCAGGCCGGCTTGGGGGCGATTTAGTATTTCGCCCCCGGTTTTAAAGTGCTGAAGCGCCCATTGTCGAAACCAACCTGCTTTTGGTTCTCCTTAAAAGCTGGCCGGAAACGGGTCTGGTTGTTCAAGCACATGCTGCATCCAACCTTGGTGCGGGTCTAGTTGTTTGAGCTCGTTGCGCCCATTTAGCCAGCCTTTTGTTGGTTGCCCCTTCAAAACCGATTTTACGCGTTGAACATCTCAACACGTGTCCTCCGCAAGCGCTTTAGCTAGTAAGGGATCTCCCTGTCGAAGGGCGGCCTTGTCTTTTGCACCCCCATGTGTTTCTTGACACTCTACTTGCTTCATGATTTTGAAGGCCACAAGAACAGGTTGGGGGTTTGCTCACACTCCATCCGAGTGTGTGACACGTCACCTGAAGTCTCCTTCCGAGCCTCTAAAACTGGGGTCATGACTTGACCCTTTCTTCTGAGTGACCCGAGGTTCAACGGCTCAGAAGTTTGCTGGGGTCTGGTTCCAGCGGTAGCTTCCAGGGATCCTTGTTTGTTTCTTTCTCGAAAACCAGCCAAAACCGCTGGGGGAAAGGCGGGCGAGTTTTTGAAAAGAACGATGGCTGAGAAGAATGGAAGAGGAATCAATGTCTAGAGTGGCTCGTCGTTTCGTGCTTTGGACCCCTGCTTTGGACCCCTCGAAATGGAAAAATGCGTTTTTGTTTCCCTTTCGGTGTCCCAAAGCCATGGGGAATCAAGCCCTATGTTGCAATCCAAGCGTCCTTTCAGGTTCTGACCTCCGAGTGAACCTCGAGGTGGAAGTCTTGAAGCAGCTCATAGAGGAGGAGCACCTGTGATCAAAGGGACCCCAAAAAAGCGTGCCGCCGAGAAAACGAGGGGGGGGACCCTTTAAAGGGCCCCCCAAGAACTGGACACTCCCAGTGGATGGTCTGTGTTTAGGCATGTGTTTACAGCAGCCAAACTTCTGACAACCAGACCCCTGGACCCGATGTCGCCCGCGGAACAAGGGGAACGAAAAGGAAGCGGGTGACAGGTTTTCAGTGGGGTAAATCCACCAGTGGATTGCTCCGTCGCACAAAATGGGTGAAACCACCGTCGCTCGCGCTGGAGAAAGGGTGGTGGGCGGTTTCAGAACAGATCTTTTGAGTTTCCCTTGACGTCATTTCCACGTGGGTTGGTTGCGGTGGCTTTGGGTCCCCCCTGTTCGGGGTTTTGGCGCGCGGATCTGGATACACTCAGTCCCAGAAGAAACCCTGAGGTGCTCATGGCCAAGTTACGTGGTGAGATTCACATAGGTGGGTCTTTTCCAAGGGGAACCTCCCCCCCGCCCCCCCCCCCAAAAAAAAAAAGGAAGCAGAGGTGGTTGTCCTTTTGGTTGTCCTTTAAACCACCAAAGATGCGGGGTTCTTCAAGAAAAGACAAACCCACATAGGCTACAACCTACTTTCAAGTTTACCCGGGACTTTGTCCGGGTTCAATCTCGCTTAACTTGACAACGACCCAAGGCCAAAACGCCAAACAGAAAGACAATTAAGTTCTTGGTGGTTCCCATCCATCCGGTTTTTCATTTTTCATTTGTTCCCATAGTTTTGGAGTTTTGTGGTAGTTTGCACTAAACCAGAAGCCACGCAAAGTATTCCACGTTCAGAGGATCCGAAAACGGAGAGCCCAGGGTTTCCGACACCAGGAGAAGTGCGCACAGGCGAACGCCAAGCAGCGAAAAAGGGAGGAGGTGGAGCACCACGCGGAGAAGGTGAAGGACTTTGAAAGGGGCGCGGTTCGGGGGCGTGCCCTGCCGGGCTCCAAAAAGCCGAGTCAAAAGACCCCAAAAGAAAATCATGCGAGGGTGCTTCTTCTTCTTCTTCTTCCTCTTCTTCTTCTTCCTCTTCTGCTTCTTCTTCTTCTTCTTCTTTTGAGGGTACCCTGTTCAGGCTTTTCAAGATGCCTTGTTTGAGTGGAACGGACATCGGACATCGGACACCCCTCCGTCTCCTCGGAACATGTTTGTATTATTTTAAGATCGACTAAATGTGGCACGGATTCTCGGACGCTGAGAGCGTCATGGGACGTTCTCTGTGAATGATTCTGTCTGGAACATGTTTGCGCAACAGAAACAGAGTGATCGTTTGCAGCTCCATCTCCAGTTGAGCAAACCAGCCGTTTTTCTTGCCTCCCTGAAATCTGGCTCAAAAGGGTAGCCTCTCAACCAAACAACCACCACTTTGGTGCATTTTGCTTGGATGTTAGGACCTTAACTGTTTGCCAACTAATGAGTTTTCCATTAAACCACCCAAGGTTAAACTTTTAGAAGGGGAGCAGAAAGCAACCGAGACCATCCCACCATCCTAGGTCCCTTTTCTGGGGAGGGTTCCCCTGCTACAATAGACGTCCTGAAAAGAGTTCGTACCCTTCTAAGCTCTCAAATCTGGAGGACCTAGCATCTGCCCCCATTTGTTGGCCACCCTTTTCCGCCTTTCCGCCTGTACGACACCTCCAGCCCCCGCCGAGATGCCGAGGAGTACATCCGCGAGGCGGAGCTGCGGCGGGAGCTGATGCGGAAGCGCCTGGGGGCGGTGCTGGCGCCCAGGCGCGCGTGTTTTTTTTTGCCCAGAACCTTATGGCTGTGGCTTACAACAACCGGTACCAACATGGAACGCATGTTTGTGTTTTTCTCCTCCGGCGGCCGGACTTGGCAGAAGGGTACGTCTGTCTTTGATTTCTGAGATTCTTGACGTGACAAGGGAACAGGAAAGAAGTTTGAAAGAAGCGAAGGGACGAGGAAGGGATAGATAGGGGAGAGAGCTTCCTTTGCACCACCGTTTTTTTCCGGCGGCCGGACGTGCCAGAAGGGTAAGGGCCCCAACACTCAGTTGCCCAAATTATTTTCCGGAAATATTCCATACGGGGTGGCTGCCCAGAGGGTGTTTAACCAGTTTTGGACCAACCCTCTTAGGCTCCTCAGTTGCCCCAAGCGACTTCGACCTGATCTGAGCCGTATTTAGTAGAGGTGCCAAAAGGTTAACCGTTCATTTCCAGGTCTTTTGGGCAAGAGAGTTCAAACATCGGATGTTTTCAGGCTGGTTGCAAAAATGATGTTCAAATAAAGGAAAAGAGGCCCAAAGGAGTTTCAACTAGGTGGTTTGCCCAGTGATTCCATTGCCCAGGTTTAGGTAAACAAGGGAACCATCCTTTACAAACTAAAAGCAACGTGGCTGGTGAATTACCTGCGGTGGCGTGCCGATCGGGATCCACAACCCTAGCTCACCCTCAAAAAGGACACAGAGTCTTTCCACCAACCCGGTTTGACCAATCTTTGAAAGGCTGGAGAATGAATGTTATCTTCGGATTAGTCCGAAGGATCCTACGAGTCACAGGCAGGACCCCTCAAGCAAATGCGTGTGTTGTTTGTGTGTTGTGTGTGTGTTGTTTGTGTGTGTGTGTGTGTTGTGTTGTGTTGTGTTGTGTTGTGTTGTGTTGTGTTGTGTTGTGTTGTGTTGTGTTGTGTTGTGTTGTGTTGTGTTGTGCCATGTTGTGTTGTGTTGTGCCATGTTGTGTTGTGTTGTGTTGTGCTGTGCTGTGTTGTGTGGTGTTTGCCTTGTGTGGTGTTGTGTTGTCTGGTGTTGTTTGGTGTTTTTTGGTGTGGCGTGGCGTGGTGTGCATGGCGTGTTGTGGTGTGGTGTGGTGTGGTGCCGGGCCGGGCCGGGCCTTGCCGGGCCAGGCCGTGCTGTGCCGTGCCGGTGTGTCTGTTTGTTTGTCTGCCTGCCTGCCTGCCTGCCTGGCTGGCTGGCTGTCTGTCTGTCGGTCTGTCTGTCTGTCTGTCTGTCTGTCTGTCCTGTCTGTCTGGTCTGTCTGTCTGTCTGTCGTCTGTCTGTCTGTCGTCTGTCTGTCTGTCTGTCTGTCTGTCTGTCTGTCTGTCTCTCTGTCTGTCTGTCTGTCTGTCTGTCTGTCTGTCTGTCTGTCTGTCTGTCTGTCTGTCTGTCTGTCTGTCTGTCTGTCTGTCTGTCTGTCTGTCTGTCTGTCTGTCTGTCTTGGTCTGTCTGTCTCTGTCTGTCTGTCTCTGTCTGTCTGTGTCTCTGTCTCTGTGTGTCTGTCTGTGTCTGTCTGTCTGTCTGCTCTGTCTGTCTGTCTGTCTGTCTGTCTGTCTGTCTGTCTGTCTGTCTGTCTGTCTGTCTGTCTGTCTGTCTGTCTGTCGGTCTGTCTGTCTGTCTGTCTGTCTGTCTCTGTCTGTCTGTCTGTCTGTCTGTCTGTCTGTCTGTCTGTCTGTCTGTCTGTCTGTCTGTCTGTCTGTCTGTCTGTCTGTCTGTCTGTCTGTCTGTCTGTCTGTCTGTCTGTCTGTCTGTCTGTCTGTCTGTCTGTCTGTCTGTCTGTCTGTCTGTCTGTCTGTCTGTCTGTCTGTCTGTCTGTCTGTCTGTCTGTCTGTCTGTCTGTCTGTCTGTCTGTCTGTCTGTCTGTCTGTCTGTCTGTCTGTCTGTCTGTGTGTGTGTGTGTGTGTCTGTGCCTGATGAGTACGGTCCCCAGATCAATCAGAAATTGGCATCACCCTTTGGGTGTGTGTGTGTCTTGTAATCCACCATTTAGAGGGCAAGGTTCAACAGGTTTGGACTTGTTTGACGCAGGAGCGAGCAGTTGGAGGAGATGCTGCGGAAGGCGATTCCGGGTGAAACGGGCGGAATCTGGGCATCCCCAGACGGAATTGGCAAACCACTGTAGGCAACCAGGGCAAACCATGAGGTAGCATCTAGAGCTAAGAATTGCCAGGTCGAGCCCCAAACAACTTTCCGCTTGTTTGTTTGGTTCCACCCTCCACCATAAATCGCCTTTTGTTTGGGCTTGGAAGCCACCAGAAAAGGAATCGATCCCAATTGGGGAATTTGGCATTTGGGACGATGAAGCTGGGTGAGGGAGGCGACCCAAATTCCAGTCTCAGTTGCCCAAAGCGAATCGAGCTTGTGACTTCTTCTCGGCCCTTCGGGGTCGGGTTGAAGACATTTCATGGGACCAGGACCTTGTGGACATCAGAAATTCGTGAGGATGTATGTCCACGAGCCGCTTTTGAGGGTGTTCCAACCATTGAACACAATGGCCATTGCGCTTGGCATGGTTGCCTGGTGGCTTGCTTGCTTGGCTTTTTGCTTGCTCGGCTGCTTGTCGGCTGCTTCCTCGGCTGCTTCCTCGCCTGCTTGCTGGCTTGTTTGCCTGCCTGCCTGCCAATTCTTTCAGAACAAGGCAAGTCCCCACAAAGAAGCCACCCACTTGTGTTCAGCTGGAAGCAGGGAACCGTAACCGTATCTCAGTTTCGGGACCCCATCTCGGAGACAAACCCAAGCTCACTGGCCAGCTAAGCGACCCAATCCAACCTTTTGGCTTCCCGGATTTAATTTAGAAGGTCCCAAAAGGACTAGCCGTGAATTTCTGGGTCCGAACTGGGCAAGTGACCAGACCTCAAAGGAAACATCTCAGAGCCGTAACCTCTTCAACAGGCGCTTAGCTCACAGCGAGCTGAGCTTGTGGGAAGCATGACCATGGCACCTTTGTGGGATCACGCAATTCAGATTGGTTCAGCACAGATTTTGAACATCAACCAGCCGCCAACAATCAGCCAGAGCCAAAAAGGGCTAAGTTGCTTTTTCCTCAAATCCAACTGAGATCTGGTATTGATGAGAGCTGTGTGCTTCTCCGGGGAAGTACCCAAAATGGGCGGTGTCCTTCCATTCGCTTGATTTATAAATCCATGAAGACAACGGTAAACATAAAATCGGATACATTCATGGTTTGAGCCTAATGGAAGTTTCCGTCTGAGCCACCCGCAAAAAAAAAAAAAGCCCGACCGACGGGTCCCGGTCCACTCGCCGCGCCACCGGATGTGTCAGGACAAGGCCGCGAAGCCGCCGAAGGAGACGTCTCCCAAGCCCAAGGCACGAGCTTCAGATGCTTCAGATGGCCATGGCTTCAAAACCGTTTTGGGATTTCCCAGGTTGGGACAGGTGAATTCACCACCCATTGGTTGGGATTGGGGTCGGGACAGGTTCAATCCCTCGTCTTTGGGGTTAGGCCCTTTCTGTTGTAGCACAGATGTGAAAACCATATGGCCGTAAGCCACCACCCATTTTACAAAAGGGATTTTAGTGGGGATTGGGCCAAGTGAAAACTGGGGGTGCGAGGGTTTGACCCATGGCCAGATCTTTCCTTGATGGGATCTTTGAACTTTACTCTTCTTCTTCTTTTTTTCCCGTTTTCCATGGGGTCCCAAAACCACACAAAAAGTCAATCCGTGAACCACTCCATCTTTTTTCGTTTTCCATGGGACCCACAAAAAGTCAAACCCTAAACTCTAAACCCTAAGCTGTTTGAGGGGCCGACAGCAACCAAGTTAATTACTTGGGACTCACCCCGGATGGGGTAGTTCTGGAAATACGTGGTTCCCCAGAGGGTGTTCTACCAAAAAAAGTCCAGTTTTGGACCAACATACCCTCTTGGGCTCCTCATTTGTCCAAAGGGAATCGACCTGATCTGACCTTGTGCGTGTTCCCTTTTGGTATTTTTCAGACAGGTTAGGCCCTTTTAGGCAAGTGAAAAAAGAATGGTTGGGGGACGCTTTATAAAATCAGACTCCAACTTCATTTGTATTGTGATCACTTCCTTTTGTTTCAACGCACAGAACAACCCATTGCACCAACTGTTTTTCCCTTATGGCAAAGGGTTTGGGCCTGAAGCAGTTAGCCGAAGATTGTGAACCCGAGGCGTTGCGAGTGCCGTTGGTTTTCACAGACCCGAATACCCGACCGTAAGACTTCAAGAGGACACGCCAAAAAAAGGTTCTTCCGCCAGACAAGCCCCCTGTTATTTGCGGAGAGTGAACATTAATTGTGAACCCAAAGCGGGGTTTAGGCGACCGTCTGTGAGGTTGTTTCCCGGCGTGCTAACGCGCTAGCCCGCGCACAGATACATTTGCTTTAAATACCAGACAGGTAGCAGGTGGGACGTTCGAGACTTCAGTGGGTGTGTTGCTGGAAGGAAGAACAGTATCGGCTTCCATCAAACAGGCCTTTGCCACTTAGACACCTTGTCTCAGTCCAGAACCCAAAGCCAAGTACGTTTGCGCTTCTAGGTGTCGCACAATGGAAGGTGTTCTTCTCAGCTTGCGCCTCTGAACATTTTGATTGGTGGTTTGGATTGCTGAGTTACTCTCGAAGCTGATTGCAAAGCAGTGCAGACTCTGCAGGATTCCCATTCAATCCGGATTTGTGCTGTTTCATTTCGGATTAAAAAAGAAAAGAACAAAACAACATAAGCAAATCAAACAAATGAGAGACCCGGAGTTCACCGGATTTCACCGGCCTTCCAGGCGGCCAAGGCAGCTTCCGCCAAAGCCGCTTCCCTGGGGCCGGGCAAAGCGGCGGCTTCCGCCAAAGCGACCTCGCCCAGCGCGGAGGTCAAAGCGGAGGCGGCGGCGGCGAGGATGAAGTTGATGGAGGACGTTGGGCCACAGAGTTGGGAAGTCTCATGCAGAGAGCCGAAAGCAATAGGGCCGAAAGCAATAGGGGTTCTACCTTCCCTTCCACTAGCGTAGCACAGAAGGTTCCTTAGAGGTGCTGGCGTGCAATCTTTGGCACGTATTTCGCTATTAGGGGTCTATGCTGGTGTAATTTTGTTTGAGGCTTGGAGCCCTTTTGGGGAAGTCTATGAGGGAGAGCCAAAAGGAACAACGACGCCATTTTTGTGGGTCTACTTAAAGACACACAAACACACAAGTGCACCTTTACTTGTTGCACCTCGTTTCACCCAAGTGCAAATGCCAACATAAAGTCTCCAGGTGATTCCCGTTTCTTGAGTCTTTGCACTTCTCTGAGAGGAAACCAGACTCCATTTGTGGAGAATGGCTTTTCTCCCCTCCACTGTGCAAATACTGACAAGGATTGCGGCGTACTTCAAAGCCACATTGGTTGTGTTATGTAGTCTTGATTGCAGGAGCAACACTAGGCCCCCCAGTAGTGCCCTTTTACCTTCTTTTTTTTTGGGGGGGGGAGGGTTCCCCCTACTTAAAATCGACTACAGAAAAAAAGGGTACCCTTATTCTAACCTCTCTACTGGAGGACCTGGAACAGGCAAAACGGTAGTAAACAGTTGAAAAGGGGAGGAAGGAGGAGAAGGCATTCAACCAACCGCTTCTCAAGGAGGAGAAGGCGGCCAAAGCGCGGCAGGAGAAGATCGACCTTTTGCTGCAGGAGGCCGGAAGTCGGATATGACTTCCATTTGCTGAAGAAAGTATGTGTTTGATGTTCCCCTGAACGTTTGTCCAAAGGAGATGTATTTCACTACTGGACTCGTTCTTAATTATTTTTAAACCAGGGGACAAACATTTGAAAACGCAAATGGAGGTTTTCAAGCCAAAAGGCGATTGGGTTTGGACTTCAAACTAAACTGCTATTGGGTTGGATCTTTAGACTTTAACTTTTTGGGAAACAACGGGGTTTTCTGCTAAACCCGCCAAAAAAGTGAACAACTTTTTGCAGGGGGGTCAACAACAACCAAGCAAACACACGTTTCTTTGGGGACGAGAAACAAATCCGCCGCTTCGAGACACGCCCCGGGGAGGTGACCTTCCAGTCCCATCAGCCACCGACCCGCTTTTCACAGTGCGGGATCCCCTTTTTTTGCATTGGTCTCAGGGGGTGTTCCGAAAAACAACCAAAAAAAACACCCGAACGGGGTGATGTTTCGTTTTTCCCATGGGATTTTGTTTTGCGGGGAGTCTGAGGGGTAGTCCGTTTGGTCTTACTTTGGTTTCCAGTTGGTTGCTTTCGCTGTGGTGGCCTTTAAACTCAACTCCGAGCACAAAGCCGAGATTTGCCTCTGGCTTTGACTTTTTGTTGAGGGGATCCTTTTTGCGGTCGTTTCAAAGGGACACCAAACACCACCCATTCACCCATTTGGGTACATCAATTTGGAGACAAACGCATTTAGTATTTTGTCCATGTCAGCAAGCGCTCTCCCCAGGCACTTTTGCCATCATAGCAGCAGGCTTTGTGCGAGGACGGCCTAATCGAATTCGGCGGTGAAGTATCGGTGCCTTGTGTTGGTTTTAACGTCTTTGTGGATGTCCTCGATTTGCGTTTCAGAATGGTTCATATTTTTTCCTGTCAGCTTTAAAGGAATCTGTCACTGGCGAAATAAGCTCAGGTGATATCCCCAACAGCATACGATGCTCGTTTCGACCCTCGCGAAACCCTGCGGAACCCTCGCGGGGTTCCGCGGAACCTTACCTCAGGCTGAGACCCCAAAGCCTTGCTGGGGCACCATGCTTCAACCTTACACCTGACCTGCGCCAGAGCACCCCGAACCTCCGCGACCTTGCTTGAACCTTTCACCTCGGAACCTCCGGAACCTTGCTCTGGAACCATGCTTGAACCTTATTTGGTGGGCTGAAACCCCTTAGCTTTCAGCTGTTGGGGAAAAACACCATATGTTCCAGGGGACGTATGCGCAAATGGAGGCTTTTGTTTGGTTTTCCCAGATTCACCCAAGTCCACCCAAAGGAGAGTTCCTGTAACAAAGAATCTTTGTTGCACTTTGCCAAGGGATGTTAGGACTTTAACTGTTTGCCAACTTTAGTGGTTTTCCGTATTAATGTTAACCCCGGATTAATAGACCCCTGGTTGATTAATAGGGGAGTGTCCCCTTTTAGTGGGGATTCGGACCACTGTTGGAGGGAACACCCCCCCAAAAGATGGGACGGGTTTTACTTACATCCTGGGTCAACATTAAGCCACTAGAAGTGAAAACGTTGAGCCATTTTAGTGGTAAACAAAAAGTTTGGACTTTTTTTGGGCCATCCACTCAGCCAGTGAGTTATTAAGCCACTAGAAGCGAACAACGTTTAGCAGGGGAGCAAAAAATCGCTGGGTTCCACAGCACCTGCAGGTGAGCCAGCACCGGCTGCCCCTGTGGGACGATGTGGTGTCTGCGGGCTGTTCGCTGCCCTCCCTCCAGGGGGAGATCTTCCTGCTGCCCTGGGACGAGGACGAGTCACCTCCAAGGGAAACTGTTTACAAACTTAAGTTGGATATTCGAACAGGATATCTGCTATAAAAGTAAGTCTCACGGTTTTCTCGGAACCGGGTTTTGGGGGGGGGGAAATCAACTAATGAAAGGCTGCGCTCACCCCAACTTAATGAGGCTTTGCGGTGGCCAGCCCAAGGTCCTGAGTTTGGGATCGATTGAGTTGGTGCGTTGCCTGGAAATGAATCTCCCAAATGGAAAGATCCAGAGTGTTCGGCCATGGTTGGCCAACCTAGACATGGTTAGTTCCCCTCCGGGGGTTGTAAAACTAGGTTGTTTAACAACTTACTAACTTGGCCGCACACCAAGAAGTCTTGCAAAGCCGTCCTGTCAATTCGGAAGAATTATTTTGTGTGTCCGCACTTCATGTTGGTCTTAGTTGCCGTGGAGCACGACTGCATGACCAACATGCAAGCTCCGAGCGAGCTTTTGACAATGCGACTAGCCTCATGGGTCTGTTGAAGCATTTGAAGATCAGTATTTCAACACCTCAAGTATCCACGGTTGACCTTTTTGATATTGGCCAGTCTTTTGATTGGTGTGACCAAATCACCCCGGAGACACCTTTTGGAACCAGTTTCGGCTTTTCCATGAAACCTACAAATTGATCGACCTGTCGCTTGTTCGGGGGGGCTTGGAGCAGCCGTATCGGGACCTCTGATGCTTGCCCCCAAAACACGATTCCAGTTTTCCCCAACAGATGCGGAGGCACCAGTCTACTGAGACCTTTAGACCATTTGGGGGTGTTTTTTGAGGCTCATTTTGGCGGGTCCCGCCATTTTGAGACTGGTCCATGGTGCACCAGGAGGCTGCTCCCACGCTCTGCCGCCTCGCCGGGGAGAACCAGGCGCAGGCCGGGGGTGGTGGGTGGGGTGGGAGGGGTGGGGTGGGAGGGGAAAACAGCGGTGGACGTAACCAGCACCCCCAACCACTGCTTTTTGGACAGTAGGGATTTTGGACATGAGAAAGAACAGTTGTTGGGGGGGGTGCCGCAAACGGAAGTTCGTGTTTTACTTTTGGCAGTGTTTCAATCTTCTTTCCGCTCGAGGCGATGCTGATGCTGCCGCTGCCGCAGGTGGCGCAAGCGCCGCTCGGGCTGCAGGCTGCAGAGTTAGTTACTGTAGCAGGATTTAGAGGGCGGCACTGTTCCGGTAGTTGTTTTGAGAAAATTGTTTAGCATGTCCTTTCACTAACGAAGGTTGATGGTTGAAACGTGTTAGATCCTGGGCCCTTTGATACTACAAGATCAGGTTCCTACTTTCCATGAGCCTGGCCACAGCTGGACGGCAAATGCTGGGCGCGCGAGAGTCAAAGAGTCAAGCCTCAGCGAGTGCTTTCTCCATGGCAGTCCTTTCAAGCACCAATATGACGTTGGCGACTTCAAGTGCGTAAGATATTTTGTGTGTGCTCCGGTTCCATTCTTAAATGGGGCAGGCTCCCCCGTTGACAATCAAGCTCCGCTTCATTTGGGTTCCTCTCAGACATTTTACACCAGGACCCAACTAACCCAAAGGTCCCAATGTGTTTCAGGTCTTTTGATGTGCCCTTTTCGTTTTAGACGGCTGGTCAACAAAAACGACAAGCTGCCAACCGAGGTACGCCTCGCATCCCGCCTGGCCCTCGAAGCCGCCAACTTGTCGCTCCCTGGTGGCCGTGGAAGCTTCCGCCGATGCGGCGGGGGAGAAGCTGCTGGGACCCTTCCCGGCGCAGCCCCTGCAGCGGCCCTTGGCCTTGTGGGCTCACGAGGAGCTTCCAGATTCCACCGAAATCCGGATGTGTGTCTTCTTTGGAGGGAGCCCTGGTGTTTAGGTCTAAAGTCCAAAAGGAACAGAAACAGGGGTGTGTCTTCTTTGGAGAAAGCCCCCTTTTTCGGCCAGTCGAAAAAAATAATAGGTCAAAGTTAAAACCCAAACGCCTTGGGTCCTTCAAGCCTCTGTGCTCCTGGGATTTTGTCAGCTCGGTGTGGATGGGGGGGGTTCCCGGTCTCATGTGTCTGATGTGACACTCGATAAGACCATCTAAGGGAAACTGGCTGCTTGTACTGAAACAGAAATCCTTGTTTGTTTGACAATTGCTTAATGATGTTGCATGGGGTTTTCCCGATTTGTTTGATGTGACTTTGGGTACGTTGCCCAGGAACAAGAAAGGGTCTGACGGGAGTTTTCATAGGGAATGTTTCTCGCAGGGTCCATCGGTCCATTGGGCGGGGAATTGCCTTTTCTCAAAAGTAGACATGGGTGGCTGGTTTTTTTGAGGCTCGGTAGCCTTTGTTTGGTTGTTTTCAAAGCAAACCGAAAGGAGAACCGCAGCCACTTTGGGGGGTCCAACCTCAAACAAGACACGCTCACATCTCCGAGCAAACAAAGTTTCCGGGGTCCCTCTTGAGGTACCCCGCCAAACGGGGTTCAAAAGGTTCAAACAAAAAAAGGTCCAAGAGGGCAGCCCCCCCCTTTGACCAGGCAATGTCGAAGATCATGACTGCAATTCTACACCTTCGTACACCTTCATTGCCGAAGTGAGCCACAATCAATCAAGAAAGCAACTCCTTACCATCCCTTACCTGAAGTCAAAAGTCAATGTCAGTGTGGGTGTGTACGTTTCTTTAAAGCAACCCTAACAAAGCTATGTTCGAAATCAAGGCGAGCTATGTGTTGTGAGACTCCTTGCTTCAAACGGAACTCACTGGGTCCATCCTAACCCAAACGATTGACCTCCAACTTGATTTCCTTTGTCAGAAGCCGAAGAAATGGAAACTCGTCAAACATTACCCAATAGAATTATACTTGGATGTTCAATTCACCAAGTTAGGAAATGATGATATTCACATAGGCTATAACTTACAACCTAATACCACCGGCCCAACTCAGTCATGAGTAGGTCATGACCTAGGTGAACCACTTAGTAATTCGGCCAACCACCCAAGTACAGCTCCTTTTTTCTTCGGTGTTTCTTGTACAGGTGAACCACTTAACAACTCGGCCGACCACCCAAGTACAGCTCCGTTTTTCTTGGGTGTTTCTTGTACAATCCAACAAACACATTTGATGTTCGACGTTGTCCCTTGCCTTGGGCGTCCCCAAATCCAACAAACACGGTGCGCGTTTTCCCTTCTCTTCGGCAAGCGGTCGTTTTCAGCTGGAGTCGGATGCATTTTCAGAGAAATGCCCTTGAACAGGAGGGACGGGTCATATGAGCATGTCTTAAAATGGGTGTGGGTCAAAATTCAACCAGGAATCGGGCCACAGGTTGAAGTCCTTGGTTCCATTTACCGATCGGGCAACCCATTTTGGGCACCCATTTTTGACCCACGGCCAAATAGGGGGAACTTTGAAACTGGCGTTTTTGCTTGGGTGTCCATTTAAAACGACCCCAAAGACGGGCTCCCTGAAAAAGGGCGCGCCCATATTGCTAGAAAGTTTGGTTTGCTCTCTTTTTCCTCATGACTGGACGAGGTCTGGGTTGCTCCGAGCCAGAAGATGATCCCCAAAAACCCAATCTCTACCGTTTCGCTGCGGTCTTTGGAACAACCCTGGGATGTAACGGCCTAAGTCATTGGAACATGGGATACTTTGCCACATGTGTGTCAAATTTAGGGAGACCCCCCTCAAATGTTGGTTTGCCTAAAGCCAACCCCAGAAAGGGTACCCTCAAGAAAGCACGCAACCACATTTGCTCATGATCATACGGTGGATGGACGAACTTCTGCACCACCGTTCAAAAACCCTGGAATGGTTAGATTTCCCTGCAGATGCCAAGAACCGTTATGGTTTCCTCTGGTTTCAATCGTGCGAACGGATCCAAGTTCCACAGTAGGGGTGAACTCTTGGTACCTTTGGGGGGACCAGGAGGGCAAGCCCGAGCTGGATGTGGAGGTGCTTGAGGAGCCGGAGAATTGGGAGGGAGGGGTTTGGGGGCATCGCGTGGTTTTGTTTTTGTGGTGCCGAACACAAGTCGGCGGAGTTTTTTTTTGGTGGTGCCGAACACAAGTCGGCGGAGGTTTGTTTTTTTTGCGGAGTGTCACTGAAATTTCGGCATTTCTGAACGCATGTTTTTTTTCTTCTTCGGTTTTAGAGCGCGTTCTCGCTTGGGACAGGGATGCAGTGGCTTGGATGGCATGGGAATTTCTGGGGGGCGCTCCTTGGTGGTTTGGTTCTGATGGAGAGGTGCTGGTCCCCAAGCCACCGATGAGTACTGTAAGACAGGGGTCTTTATTTGGATGGTCTTTGCGGGTGCTCAAAGTCAGCACATGGGGTTTCCCTTTGGCCCACCATTTGGGGGGGGGGGAGTGACTTTGATCATTAAAAAAAATACGTGGGGCCAGGAGCATCAGAGTGAACTCCACTGCGGCCTTGGGTGTTCAGCCAACTTGGAAAGTCGTCAGATGTTACCCTCGGTTACCAACCTGTAAGTTCCCGAAAAGCCAGGTTGTAGGTATACTATAGCCTAGATGGTTGAACACTCAAGGCTCCCGCTGCTTTTTTGCCACATTATTTCCCGTTTTCAACTTTTTGCATCAGTTTGCAAGGCGCAAGAACACTGGACACACCCTTTGGGGTCAAACAGGCCAACCCCCGAAAAAAACATTCCCTCTTGAAAGTTTAGGCTCTCACGTCCATGGGAACACGCCACGACACCGAAAATCAAAATACAAAAGCCGACAACTTGGCAAGAATCAGCTGGGACCCACTGGGACTCCTTTTTTTGAGCGTTCTGTGTCATAGGCCACGGTATTTTTCAGGATTCCACCCAAAACCTCGGCAAAGAAGCAGACGGGCGGACACTTGCCGCACCAATTTCTGGCTGGAGTGTTGGCTAGCCAAGAACGTTGCCAATGTTTGTTTCCCTTGAAACCAACTCAAACAAGTGACAAACACCCGCCTGCTTTTCACCTTGAGGGTGCCTTTTTGTTGGTGGTGTTAAAGAGGAAATGAACACCACCAACCACCAAGCACCAACCAACCACTGCTTTTTGAGGGTACCTTCTTTGTGGTGGCTTTCTGAAAGGTCAATGAAAGGGCATGATAGGACAACCACCCACATCGCCAAGTCCGGGTGTCCCCTCAAAAAAATATGATCAATCCCACTGGCCGCCAAAAGCGCCAGGAGACGATTTGCGTGGCGTTCCAAAAGCTGGAGCCGGAGATTTTGGAGGTGGTGCTACAGGAGAAGCTCCAAAAGGGGCCCATGAAAAGGGGAGCCTTACAACATGGATCTGGGTGCCTTGGTTTCCAGTCAAGTGGTTTCTCTGGAGTGGGAACTCTAACCAACCGTTACTATCCCCTCTACCTAAGTCCAACCATTCTAAAACTAGTTGTTTTTGGGGAGCGGCTGGTCCGGCTGCCTTGTTTTCCTTTTTGTTTTCGGTGGGTGTCCCTGAGTTTAGTGCGGGAATCAGGCCACTTTGGGAGGGGCCAACAACCACCCCGCAAAAAAAAGAGGACGGGTGCATTTTGCCTGGGTCAACAGAATACGTTTGCTTCTTGGCTTTCCCTTTGCCCCTCCTGTCCAAAACGGATCCCGCCCAAGAAATGGTCCCCTTTACTCCAAACCAGGACCCCGACACGTCAAGTTCCGTGCACGAGCCAACCAACTCCATAAACCTCCACGACAGAGAGGGCAACCATACCCCCCCCTCGGGGTCCAAGCACTGAGCTGCGTTGCTTGGGCATGTCTTGCCTGCCATGAAAGTCCCAAAATTTAAGCAAGCCTTCTTTCGGCATTTTGTGGGTACGGTTGTCCACCCAGTTCACGTCAAAGGCTTCTTTCGTCGGGGTCCAGGTCTGATTTCGCTAACATGCGACGAGTTCAGTGATAGCCTAAGTCCCCCCAAGAGCGCCATGAACAACGCCAGGACTTGACCTGAACCCGGGGAAATCAGGACGTTAGCGGGACCGGTTTGGTGACAGGGTCCCCATCTGTCTCTTTTTGGTTGCTTGAAGCAGTACCTTTTGGTTGCCAGTTGTTCAAGTGAGTTTCCTTTGTGGTGTTAGGGGAATAAGGCTTTGCCTCAAGCGAGAACCAAGCAACATGTTTGTGTACGGTTTTCCTTTAGTTCTCCCTTGTAAACCCCCAACAACCCAACATGTGTTTTTGGGGTTGTCCTTCACTTCCCCCTTGCAAACCCCGAGCAAAACGAAGGAAAACCAACAACAAAATTGTGTCACCTCCAAAAGTCGAGGCGGCCATTCGTTGACCCCATCTAGGTCCCCCAGCTAGGTGCCCTTTTACCTTTTTTTGGGGAGGGTTCCCCTACTAAAATAGACGAGACCGAAAAACATAGGGTACCAGCTTCTTCCAAGCTCTCAAATCTGGAGGACCTAGGTAGCATACCCATGTTTGGGATCCCATTTTTCGGAGACCAACTCGGAACATCGGACGGGTTTTTCTCTCGACCAACTCGGACGGACCTCGCCACCGGCCGCGGAGAGCTTGCCAGGAGCTGGCGGCTCAGGGCCTCCAAGTTGTGGGCCTCCGCCTGCTGCGCCCGGCGTCTTCCGCGGCGTCCGCGAGATCCGCCGGGTCCGTCGTGGGGATCTCCGTGGGCCTGCGGGCGGCGCTGGCGGCGGAGAAGGCGCTTGGAATGGGGGGGGGGGAAGCTCATATAGGGAGTCAACCTCGCAAGGTGGGCCAAGAGGATAGGGTTCAGGGTTCAGGGTTCAGGGTTTGGGGTGTAGGGTTTAGGGATTGGTGGTTCAGACCCCTTCAAGGTGGGTGCTTTCCTTTTGGCTTACGAGCAAAGTGGTCCGAAAAGGGGTCCCCTAGTTTGACTCTCCGAGAAAGGTGGGCGGAGTTCCCTGAAACTCTGAACCTTAAGGAACCCACCCTTGTAGCTACTTGTCGGGGATTCCACAATCATCCGCTGCGTCAACATGGAGTTTTGGACCTAGGTCCCTTCTACCCTTTTAATCCGCTTGTGTTGGGGCTCCTGCAAGGGCTCTGCCACCTTGCATGGACAACATGAACGGGCATGGATGAATCCTTTCCCACCAGAAATGTTTTTCCTCGAAAGTGGTCGCAGGGAGTATCCCCATTTTCACTCAGGCGGCGTCCATTTGAGTCTCCCCCAACCACCCCCCCCCCCCAACCATTGCTTCTTGGGCAGTGCTTGGGGTTGTGGACACGGGAAAAGCCAGGTGTTGGGTGCTGGAGCCAAGGAACCCTCCAAAAATATCCTCGTTTTTGTTGGTTGGGGTTTTGGTCCAGCTCCAATCAACGCATGGGATATGGACCGCGCCTGCCGCGTATTTCGCCCCTCGAGGTGCTGCTGCTGGCCTTGCGCGCGCCGCACGCGCTGCAGCTCTGGCGCGCCATGCTGGGGCCCTCGGACCCCGCCCTCGCCAGGCGCGGGGGATCCGCGCCGCGTCGCGCGGGCGATGGCGGTGGTGCATACCGTGGATGCGAAATCCGTCTACCGCACCGCGAAATATGAGAACCCATGTAGGTGTTTTTTACCGTTTCTTTTTGTTGGGGGAGGGTTCCCCTACTAAAATAGACTACAGAAAACAGGGTACCGTTATTCTAACCTCTCTACTGGAGCACCTAGTCGTGGTTGCAAGCCTTTGTTTGTTGGAATTTATAGGGGAATCGAATCATTTCAGGGTTTTGGGTTTTTGAACGGTGGTGCAGGATTTTGTCCATCCACAATATGTAGAGGTTTCTGATTCTGATCCCTTTTTTGTACATAGCAACAATGGTTTCAACCATGGTTTCAAAGGGGGGTGATCTCTATTCCCTTAGGACCCCCAGTTTTGACCATGGGTCACTTTTCCCATGTGGCAAGTATCAACTTTTTCTTCGTGGTTTCTCCAATGGTCATCCCATGTAAAACACCTTTTGATCAAGCCCCCATATTTAGAGGAGCTCATATTGGGGAATGCCTCTCGGGTGGTCTAAGAAGGTTCCCTTGCTCGCTTCCTGAGTTGCGTTTCGGACTTTGGTCACTTTTTGGGTTCGGACCACGGAGTCACAAGGAAACATGACTTTTTGTGACCAATCCCCGCAGGAAGTGAATTGCCCTTTAATGTTGACCCAGGATTAATAAACCCGTCCCATCTTTTGGGGGGGGTGTTCCCTCCAAAAGTGGTCTGAATCGGGTTAAGATTAGTGGTTGAATCCGGATCTCACTTTCTCAATCTGGGGTTCCCATTATATATTTTCGGATCAAGTGAGTCAGTGGATCTCAAGTTATAGCGCCACGAGCAGCGGGGGGGTGACGCATGAAGAATTATTTCAAAGGGATTCGGTGGGTGAATTCTCCAGCCATTTGCCTGGAGTGGATGCTTCATTTGCCAGTGGCTTCCATGTCATGTTTTTGTTTGTTTTTCTCCTCGGGAGGGGGGGGGGTGGTAGCTAGACTGTGCCCATGACTTCGAAGGGTATGTTTGGCTTCAATACCCGATGATGGTAAAGGAGATCCACAAAGCCTAAGGTCGCTTGCATGCAGCTACCCTCCCTTCCACTAACATGGCACCTGGCAGAGGGTCCCCTGAAAATGAAACTAATCTTCCAGATACCCTTCCACAGGTGCTATGTTTGTTGGAGGAAGGATACCCTTTCTACACGGAAGTGTTGCCACAGGGGCAAAGTGCCAGGAAAAAAGGAAAAACGTGGCTTCTCGCAACAGGAGTTACAGTAAAATGCAGGGCGACCCCCACACGTGGTGACGTTTCTGTTGGTTCCCTTCATATTTCAACCTGAAAAGAATCAAACACGCACACACACACACACACACACACTAGTTATGCAAAATGACCTGGGTTGTGCTGAAGAGAACTAGGGGAAAGCCTGGACCAAGGGAACCACCAATTTACTACTTTTGGGCTCCCTCTACCGTGCCTGAGTTGAGTTGACATGGTGCCAGGCCGATCCAAACCCAGTTGACCACAGGGTGTAGGGGTTGCTCCCTCCAAAAACTGTTGGAGCATGTTTTTTTCGGGGGAACCCCAACATTATGGTTATAACCTAGGACACAGTGGGCTGAACATCCAGGCAAAGCAAGAATGAAGGAGAAGAGTAACGGAGGCGGCCGACCTAATATTGCAAGGGGCCAGAAGGGACATCTTCTGAATCACCGCGATTTACCGGGTGTGTCACGGATAGTTTGACATGGTTAGATCCTTAGGCAACACAAAGCAGCATACTGTGGACGGACGAATTCCTGCGCAGCCTAAGCAATCTTGGAATGATGATTCCGCTGTAAATGCCAACAAACAATGGGGTTCAAAGTGGTGCAGGGTTCTATCCTGTCCAGCCACAGTAGGGCTCAACCAAGGCGAGAGTTTCCGCTCAGGCTCCCCAACAAAAAACACAAACGACATCCTTGCTTCTTCTTCGTGGGGGGGGGGTGGTCTCGGAAGTCAGCCGGTTCCAACTACGATTCTTACGTAAGAGGCATGAGACACCGGGCTATTCCGCAAATTCCTGGGTTCGTGGGAAATTCAGGGTTAGAGTGAGTTCCCTAAGTCCTCCCAAATTAACCATAGACAAAACAGGAAACATCGACCGAGTCTTCATATCCATCTTGCGTTTGCTTTTGCGAGAAACACGGGTTGTCCGTTGCGCACATGCAAGCAGATGTTTGTTCAATCCCCAAAGAAGCCTTTGAAAGATTGGCTATAAAGGAAAGCTGAAACTTCTGATTCACCCATCTGGGAAGTGGCCACCTCACCGAGGGGCTCGAATCGGCTCGGAATCTGATGAAGGTACGGATGGAATTCACATGAGGGCGAAAAGGACTACTGGACAATTTATGTACTAGCTTCCCCAAAGAAGATCCAGAAGAAAAAGGTAAACCTGTTCTAAACCTGGTGTTGCTCTTGACTCTTGATTTCCCTTTAAGCCAACCTGAAAACATATTATAAAGTTGAATAACTGTGACGCGTAATTTGAAGACAACATGTTCTGGGGGGCCTTGTCTTGTTTTTTTTTTTAGCTTTGGCCGTCCGCAAAAAGAAGATGAACACCTCAAGTAGAGCATTGGAGCGTCAACCAGGAAGAAAGCGGTTTCCTTCGGCGCTTCCAATCAAACACCGTGACAAGTCGGACGGCGCTTCATCTGCGTCCTTCAGGGTCCGGGGACCAAATTTGTTTGACTGCGATACTGTGGATGGACGAAATTCCCTTGTAAATACCAAGAAACAGCGGTTTCAACCATGGTTTCAAAGTGGTGCGAAATGGATTTCGTCCATCCACTGTGGGGTCTTTTTGCGGGATGACTTGACTCCAGTTCTTGGCAGAATTTGTTGCTCGCTTGCACAGCCGGCCGGCATGTCATTTCCCATCCAGGGACTTTAATTTAAGTTTCTGGTGCACTGGTGCCCGAAAAGAATGGCGGCCATGGTCTTTGTCGGAGAGACCTGTTGGAAGAAATTTGCGTTCGGAGGATGGCTTTCCCACTTTCCATGTCGATCGCTTGTGGCTGGTTGGAGGGAGCCATGTGCCTGTTCAGTTTTCTGTGGAGGCACAGATGAAGGAAGGCATTCATCAACAACTGGGATCACACTAAACGACTGGAATCACCCGCTAAGTTTTGTTGGTGAGGAGGCGTATGTTCCTCTGAAAAAAAGGCATTCATCTGGGCTCTCCCATGACTTGCCAGACTTCTATTTTCATTTTTTGGCCGGGCGTTCTGCTTGCGGCGCGAAAAAAACAGTTCCCAGCTTCTTCTTGCCTGGCGACTCCCGCCAGCGGCTCGGGCGAAAACGCCAGGCAGACGGACCCGGAGAGTCTGAACGCCCGCTTCGGCGGCCAGAGCCGCGCGGAGGCCCTGGCTCTGGCGCCCTCGGGGAAAGCGGCCGACGTGGTCTGGGCCTTCGGCGGAAGGAGCGAGGCCCATGCGTTGGCTTGGGTCAATGTGGGTGTGTTCTGTGTTGGGTGTGTTGGGTGTGTTGGGTGTTTCTGTGTTGTGTGTGTGTGTGTGTGTTGGCTTTGTGGTGCGTTAGTAGTTGTTTTTTTTCAGGTACCCCTGAATTGGTGGTTTGGATTTGGATTTGAAGCCCTGGCTTTGGCACCCAATCTCCAAACCAAACCAATCAGAGGGAAGCTGAGCTTAGTTTAGGAATCCGAAAGGAGACTGATCATTTGCAGATCCCTATTTTAAGACATACCCAGATGCTTTCCAAAGGCTGCAATGCCCCGTTGGTTCACTTTGGGATCCGAAGGGTTGAAGGATTTATGCATGCAGTAATTGAACCCTGCGGGCAGAGGTGGGCAACCCTGAACAAAGATGTTGGATGGAGTGGATGGGTTTGAATCGGTCATTTCAATTTTGACTCCCTAAACGCGGATGCAGTTTTTCGCCCCCCCCCCCTAATGAACAGACTCCTGTCGGGAAAAGCTTGGTAGGAACCAAACCAGGTTTCCACTTCATTCCTCTTCCAAATGGGGTCCTTCCGTTGCTCGGAGCAACAACTATCAGAATCGAATATTCTAGAGAAAAAAAAGTGCACATATGTAGGTCAGGGTGTTTTGTGTTATGCTTGCAATTCAAGCATTGCAAGTTCGGAAACCAGGCGCTCACATGTTCATAATCTGTCTTGGCCATTTAAGTAAAGTGTTCCACTCCCTTGTTTCATAGGCTTGTGTTGTTTTTCCCATTTGATTGTAACTAAAACCATCAACGTGGCTCCTTTTGAGTTTGCCCATGGAACAGATCCCATCTTGAGACTAGCAATCGACTATGTTCAAAGAACTTCCATTTGCTTCAGATTTTTGTTTGCTTCCCCCTGCGGGTTTTGAAGGGAATCTATCACTAACACACACACACACATCGTTCCATGAAAGGTCTGTTTCGGGACCAGGTTGTGCCTATGCCTCACAAAGGAAAATGATTTGGGGCCCCTCGGAATAGTGGGTTCCTTTTGTCTTCCGTAGCCATCCGACGTAAGGGGCGTTGGGTTCGTGCACATGGTCTTGGGCACTGGGGCCAGACTTCGTCACAAAAAGCAGTCTGCACAGGCACGACTTCGTCCAATAAAACTCTCTGCCACGGTTGATATATTTTTCGTGCTTTCCGCAGGGGGTGGTTTGTTGGGTGGTGTGTGTTGGGGGGGTGGTACTTGCAAGGGGCATATCACACATGGTTTGTGGTTGCCTGAATTCGAAGCTAACTGATGCCGATCGACCATTTCGGGTCCCCAGTTAAAGTTCATGCCCCTTTGGGTCTGTCATTTGGAGTTGGTCCCCCCCTTCTTCTCCAGTGACCACGTAGGTAAATAGATCGGTGGGAAAAGCTGGAAAAGCTCTGGGGGTTGATGCCCCATTCTTTTCAGCCATCGTTGATTTTCAAAAACCAGATCCATTTCCCCAGGGTTGAGGTGGTTTCCTAGAAAGATTCGGATCCCGGAAAAAAAATGAAAATAGAGGTTACCCCTCAAAAAGCGGGAAATCTGCCGTAGCGGCAAACAGTGGCCCAGCACAGGGCCAGCATGCCATGTGGCCCATTTCTGGGCGCTGAAGCAGCCCCTAAGGCAGCCCAAGCATCCAAGGGCTTGGCGAAGCCTCGCTGCGACAAGTTTCAAGAAGACAACTCTTTGAGTGTGTCTATCAAATGTCTGTGGTTGTCAAAACCGTTTTGGGATCCCATTTTGGGGTAGGTGTCTCAGGGTCAGGGGGTGTCTCCCGAAAAACAAAACAAACTAGGTCCCCCAGTAGTGCCCTTGTTCCCTTTTTTGGTTGGGAGGGTTCCCTTACTAAAATAGACTACAGAAAAAAGGGTACCCTTATAGCCGTTCTGGTCCAAAACCATTAGGGCTCAGGGATCGGGCTCCCAGGGCCTGGCGACACTCCCCGGTGCGTCAGGCGTCCACCAAGTCACGGTCTCCTCCGTGGCGCCCCGCCTTCTTTTGTGCGCGGCCCCCCCTGGCTTGCTCTGCTGTGTGGCGGTGGTCTCTGGTGTGCTGGGGCTTTGCCTGTTGCTGGCTGTGGCCATGTTGTCCCGGGACCCGGCTGTGCTGAGGGCCCTGTCTGCTCTTTCTTCCACCACCCTGGCCACACTTGATGCCCTGATGTCTGAGGTGGTGTTCTTTCAGGATCCCGATCCTGAGGCCTGGCGTGGCCGTGCGGACCTTCACTTCAGGGTTGATGCTGGGATCTCCCCTACGGAGTGGCTCTGCTCTGCCTTTTCTCCTGGCCTTCCGCCTGACCTGCATGCCACGCCCCGGACGCGCCGGCTCATGTTTGAGATGCTTCTGAGAGCCCCGGTGCAGTTCACCGCCCTCCTCAACCGGCCTGGCGGCCACTTTAGGGTGAAAGGGGCGTCCTTGGTGGCTGGCACCATGCCTCGTGTGGCCCTGGTGGACCTTGATTCACAGGTCTGGATTGTCCCTGACCCGGACTTTGATGCTCCGCTGGCTGTCACCCACCTGTTTGCGGGGTCCTTCCATGGATGGGGTCAGGCGGCTGAGGCCATTAGGCAGTTGGTGGGACTGGACATCCAGCAGGAGCTCATGGTGGATTTCTCGCCACAGGTCGTTGCCTCGCTGTCTGTTGCGCTGGATGTGCCCTGTGTGCTCCCGGTCAATCTGACCAGTTGGGATCCCACCTCAACCCAGGCGGTGATCCTTGCGGATGTGGCTGACCGTGGTCTTCTGCATTGTGTCCCATGGGTGGGCACTCACGTGGCCACGGCTTCTCCGCCTTGCCCACCTTGGTCCCGGGCTGGTGAACAGGATGGGCTTGGGGACCCCCATGGCATGTCCTTTGTGGCCGCCCTGGCTTGGGCTCGGGCTGCTGCCCCTCTGGCTCTCCTCATGGAGTGTGTTGATGGGTTGCCGGATCACCCGCACTTCCCTATCATCCTTGCCGTTGTCCAGTGGGCTGGCTACCGGGTCCATCACTCACTGGTGCATGACCATGCCACCTTTGGGCCATGTGCCAGACGCCGTTGGCTTGCCACTCTGCTCCGGTATGATGTTGAGGTGTCTGTGCCTGTTCCTACGGCCACCTTTGGTGACCCTGTGCCTGTTCCGTGGACCCACCAGGACTTCCAGGTGCAGGAGGCACCCGAGATGGATTTTGCCCGCTTGCTTGATGACCAGGTTCTCCGGCACTATACCAACCCTGCCTTCCTACCTGGCGCTGAGCCCCATCAGCACTCTGCACAGGAGGTCCTCCAGAGGCGACTGGCCCCTGATGATCAGCCGCTGCGCACACTCTGTGCTCGGTACTCGCAGCAGCATGTCCTGGCCGCTGCTACCCTGGCTGACAGAGGCCTTTTTGCCCAGCTCACCCTGGTTGATGGCCGCCCGGCCTTTTTCTCTCCTGCCCAGTGGGCACTGTGGCTTGGGGCAGTCCGGCCCCTTGTCTTTCCTCCCACCTTGGAGGAGGTGTTCCATGGGTTGGGTAACTGTATCTCAGTACCACAGGCAGCCATTCCGTGGACTGTCTTCCTGAGTGCAGTGGGTCTCATTACTGAGGTACCTGAGCACCTCGTTCTGCGTGTGTGGCGCCATCGGCTTCGGGGTGTTGCCCTACGTCCTGCAGTTGTGCGTGGATGGTACTTTCTTGGAGCTCTGGATCAGCTCATCGACTTTGCCTTCCACCCTCAGGCCCCTGTGCGGGCCGACGCGGAGGGACCGCCAATTGTCGTTGGTGAGGAGACCTTTCCCAGGATGGTCTTTCCCTACCGCATGGGTGCTGCTCGATCCACGCTCCACTCGCCCTCTGGTTTGAGTGTCGAGGTGACGTACCCTGTTGGGGCTGCTGTCTCTTTGGTCCTTCTGGCAGCTCGCCTTCCGCCTGTTGTCTTGCCCCTTCTTGCTGTGTCGACCTTCGCTCGTGTCTGGCTCCCTCGTGAATCAGCCGGAGACTTGATCGGACATGACTTGGCTGTCGTCCCTGCTCTCCCCCCGTCCTGGTGCCACCGGAGGTGAGGGTCTTTATCCATGACCCCATGCGGAGGGAGCATGTGCTTCATGTCCCCAGAGTTGCTACCCTTCGGCAGCTCATCTGGGCCCTGCCGCTCCCTGACCGTCTCCTGATGCATGTGCGACCGTATGTCCAGGGACGCCCGGTGAGTGATACCACTACGGCTGAGAACCTTGCGGGTCAGCATGTCTTGCTGCGCCTCTTCCCTCTTCCTGGGGGTGGCTTTGGCTCGAGTGAGACTGCCGTCTCCCTGGCTTCGGATGATGATGAGATGGTCCCGGTTGATCCCTTGACCATGCATGACCCGTGGGCTCCCCCCCCGGGCCTCGTCCCCACTGCCAAGTCTGCACCAGCTGGCCCCAGGAAGGGTCATGCCAAGTGGGATCAGCTCCTACTCCCGGAGGACCATGCCTTCACCTTGACAGATCTTGGGGTTGCGCCTGTCTTGGTTCCGCGTGGGCAGCTTGGCCCCCTTGTGTCCGGCTTGGCATTCTGCCCTGTCAGCTTGCTTGCGGAGAGCCTCAAGGCCCCGGTCACTGCTCCCACAGCCCTTATTGTGCCGGGGACCTCCCGGGCTTCCTTGCCTGCGCTTCCTTCCCCTTGCAGATCAGTGTCCTGGACCCTGTTGCAGCTCTCACGTACAAGCGGCAGGTCGTGCTTGTCCATCTTGCTCCGGGCATTACCTACCGTCCTTCTGTTGAGGCTGCAACGGTCATTGACACCGTTGACTTCGTTGAGCTTGTGGTTGAGAGCTTTGAAGCCCTCGCAACTGACTTTGCGGGCATCTTGGCCAAGCCTGGTACGGACCTGCGGGCCCTCTTCGAGGCTCCTCATCAGTCGTCGGTCGTCCAGTCTGTCTATGCCCTCCGTGTGCTCCATGGCTCCGTCCACAACTTGGGTCGCGTGGTGCAGTTTACGGTCAAGCTCCCGTTGACCCACAGGCTCGCATTCCTGCGTCTGTCG